CAGTTGAATATCAATCTGTCCAGATTAAAAAGAAGAATAAGCGATTGTTGTTATGGCAGAAAATTGTGGCCTTTTTACATTTAATCTTTTATGTATATTCTTTTACTATTGACTTTTTAAATTTACTATTATTACTGTTAGTCTGTCCACATTTACTAGGGTTCAGGTCAGAGCTGTGAGATTGTTTTGGTGTTTTCCCATCTTGTTGTTCCTCTCCTCTCGTGGAATGTTCATTCAAGGCTGAGAGAGGATCTCTGTTCCCCATAACATAGAAACCTAGACTGTGTAAGTGATTATGCATCCCAGACACCCAAAGCTGCCCTAGGCGGCAGGTCTCTGGACCAGCTGTATATGTGTTTTAGTAATTCTCTGTTTATTCTCTTTTGTTAATAAATTCTTCAAAGACAACGGTTAGTTGTTACACAATTATTTGCCTAATCCCTCACCAGCAAGATACAATTTCCACGACAATTGTGAATCAGTGTCACCTGTTTTGGTGCAAATGAAAGTGAAAACAGGTTCACTGAAGAGTAAAGCTAGACCTACCCCCAAAAAGGAAATCGTTTTGCAGGTGGTGGCCACTGATAATTGCTCTCTCCTTATCCACCCTGACAGATTGTTCTCTAGTTTTGTTCGTTTCATTGTCAATACTGGTAGCAAGACTACTGCCTTATGCAACCAGCCTATTCAGGTTTTACATGTAGTCCAGCTCCTCTGGGATGACACATCCATATGTGCTTATTTCTGTCAAAACTGTCAGAAACAGACTCTATGAGGGTGGCATGAGGGTCTGCCACGGCGCCCCGTGTTCTTCACAGATGAGAGCAGGTTCACACTGAGCACATGTGACACACATGAAAGAGTCTGGAGAAACCGCGGTGAACGTTATGCTGCCTATAACATTATCCAGCATGACCGGTTTGGCGGTGGGTCAGTCTGGAGAGGCATATCTTTGGGGGGTCACACAGACCTCCATGTTCTAGCCAATGGTACCTTGACAGCTGTTAGATACAGGGATGAGATCCTCAGAGCTGTGGGCTCTGGTTTCCTCCTTGTGCAGGACCGTGTGTAGGCAGTTCCTGGATGATGCACTACTGAGTCACATTATGAGTTCCCGTGATGAAAGACATGCAAGTTTGATCAGTCTGTGTAATTTTTGAATCCAGCCCTTGACCTTTCTTAAGTCATTTTGTTAACAAATTATACAATGTAGAGGAAAGATTTTGAACTTGCAGTGTATTTCATGGCATCACTTGAAATACCACTTGTTGTTTACTCTGTGAATACTCTCAGGTTTTGTATCTCATTTATAACAGAAATAAACACATAGCAAAACAGATAAATAGAATTAACAATATATAATTAAACTTAATGGCTATGGCACGTTATACCAAGTGAATTGTTATAATACTGGTGTCCAATCAACTTTGCTTTTGTTCTTCAGCTGCTTTTTCTTCATCCTTTAACTGACTGTGCTTTTTACTTATTCGGGTTTCATAACTGCTCTGTAACTGACTGTTGTTGACTGCCATGTCTTGATGCTTAATAAGCATCATTTTTTACCTGAAATTTGTCCCTGCAGCTCGCTGTAGTTGTTGTACAGTTTGTCGTATCTGGTCTGCAGATGGTCTTTTTCCAAAGTGACTGTAATATCTGGTGAGAAGCACAACAACATAATAAACACACCAACACCACCAAATCATTGTGTCCCTGAGCAAGACACTGACCTAATTGCTCTAGAGGCGTGCGAACTCTGACATATATAGCAATTGTAAGTCGCTTTGGATAAAAGCGTCAGCTAAATGAATAAATGTAAATGTAAAGAATGATCTGCCGCTATACTTTGTTTAAAAGTCAAGAATCCTATCTGCGTGCTGACTGTATTATACATCCAATAGTCAGTATAATCAGTCCAGCAGTTTGACTTTCATTTTCACAACACCAGCATTTCAGTGAACTGCTGTCCCCAACAACATACAAGGATGAAACCTGTTTCCTGAGTATAAAGTGTCTGACAACACATCATACTAACCAACAGTCATGAGGACAGCAATATGATAGTGCTGTTTATACACTGCTCAAAAAAATAAAGTGAACACTAAAATAACACATCCTAGATCTGGATGAAAGAAATAATCTCATTAAATACTCCTTTCTTTACATAGTTGAATGTGCTGACAACAAAATCACACAAAAATTATCAATGGAAATCAAATCTATCAACCCATGGAGGTCTGGATTTGGAGTCGCACTCAAAATCAAAGTGGAAAACCACACTACAGGCCGATCCAACTTTGATGTAATGTCCTTAAAACAAGTCAAAATGAGGCTCAGTAGTGTGTGTGGCCTCCACGTGCCTGTATGACCTCCCTACAACGCCTGGGCGTGCTCCTGATGAGGTGGCGGATGTTCTCCTGAGGGATCTCCTCCCAGACTTGGACTAAAGCATCCACCAACTCCTGGACAGTCTGTGGTGCAACGTGGCGTTGGTGGATGGAGCGAGACATGATGTCCCAGATGTGCTCCATTGGATTCAGGTCTGGGGAACGGGCGGGCCAGTCCATAACATCAATATCTTCCTCTTGCAGGAACTGCTGACACACTCCAGCTACATGAGGTCTAGCATTGTCTTGCATCAGGAGGAACCCAGGGCCAACCGCACCAGCATATGGTCTCACAAGGGGTCTGAGGATCTCATCCGTGTATCTAACAGCTGTCAAGGTACCATTGGCTAGCACATGAAGGTCTGTGTGACCCCCCCCAAAGATATGCTTCTCCAGACTGACCCACCGCCAAACCGGTCATTCCGGAGGATGTTGAAGGCAGCAGAACGTTCTCCACGGCGTCTCCAGACTCTGTCACGTCTGTCACATGTGCTCAGTGTGAACCTGCTGTCATCTGTGAAGAGCACAGGGCGCCAGTGGCGAATTTGCCAATCTTGGTGTTCTCTGGCAAATGCCAAACGTCCTGCACGGTGTTGGGCTGTAAGCACAACCCCCACCTGTGGACGTCGGGCCCTCATACCCCCTTCATGGAGTCTGTTTCTGACCGTTTGAGCAGACACATGCACATTTGTGGCCTGCTGGAGGTCATTTTGCAGGGCTCTGGCAGTGCTCCTCCTGCTCCTCCTTGCACAAAGGCGGAGGTAGCGGTCCTGCTGCTGGGTTGTTGCCCTCCTACGGCCTCCTCCACGTCTCCTGATGTACTGGCCTGTCTCCTGGTAGCGTCTCCGTGCTCTGGACGCTACGCTGACAAACACAGCAAACCTTCTTGCCACAGCTCGCATCGATGTGCCATCCTGGATGAGCTGCACTACCTGAGCCACTTGTGTGGGTTGTAGACTCCGTCTCATGCTACCACTAGAGTGAAAGCACCACCAGCATTCAAAAGTGACCAAAACATCAGCCAGGAAGCAAAGGAACTGAGAAGTGGTCTGTGGTCACCACCTGCAGAACCACTCCTTTATTGGGGGTGTCTTGCTAATTGCCTATTATTTCCACCTCCATTTGCACAACAGCATGTGAAATTGATTGTCAATCAGTGTTGCTTCCTAAGTGGACAGTTTGATTTCACAGGAGTGTGACTGACTTGGAGTTACATTGTGTTGTTTAAGTGTTCCCTTTATTTTTTTGAGCAGTGTATACTGTCCTCTTCCTGTTGCAGCTGGTTGTTTTGTTTAGTTTAGCGTCCGCTGGAACTAAACAACGTGAGCTACACTGCAAGCAATGATGATAGTCCAGAGAGAGTGACACTACATGTGACTCTTATTAAGATTAAACATATTTGGGACTTTGTATGGATTGTGCAGAATTATCCTTCCTCTTCTACACAGAGCGACAGGAGCATGAACCTGTGTTGACTAGCTTTATTGTGCTTCCCAAAAAGTCTCTCGGACAAAATAAATGAAAGTCAAGTTTTTATAAAATACATGGACATACACCTGTTGTGTTATCAAACTGAAATAAAAACTTAAAAACATGACATTACGAAAAGCAGAGAGGGACTCAAATTATTTTAATTTGAATTAAAAACTAAATTCCTTACATCGTATGAAGACTCCAGCCAAAATCAGAAGATACATCACTCCTAGAGTTGCAGCAGTAAAACAACTTATTTTGACACAATTCTTTGGAGTCTGTGATCCTACAGAGACAAAATGCAAAGATAGTATTTTCATTATGTTTGAAGTTTGAAGTGGCCACTATGAACTGTGTAGTTTTAGTTATTGTCATTCTCTCAGTAAGGAAAATTACTCTTGTGGCACCAGATTTCATCACCAACACACCTGATAATGACCCATAGTGAATAGTTAATATCTAATCTTTATATAGCTACACAAAAATGCACATTAACTTTTTAATTTCAGACTTACTTGCTTTTTGTGTCCCAGGATCAGCGTGATGCTCTTCAGCCTCTGAGATCTCCACCTCATTCTCCTTTCTTGCTCCTCTGTTCTCATGAACTCTTCTTGAATATCTCACATTCAAGCTTGAATCTGGTACAGCAAGAATACTTGCAGACATTTTGAAATATTTTAAACTTTACTAAACCGTTTCACTGTCTGCTTGTTTCTCTTTGAGGTGGGTGGACTTCACCACAGGAAGTGACAGCAGGACAAACCACTAACACAGAAGCACACCAAAACATATTTGTTACTGTTAATTGACGAACCCCACTAGACTTAAACCTGACTTAAATTTAGGCATAAACTATCTAGAAGTATATTTGAAGCTGAAAAAGAACAGCAGTATGTGGTCTAATCACACATTCGTGCATAGCTGCATTCATGGTTTCACATACCATTTACCCACACATGCCTCTCTGACACAGGAAATGTCATGTTTTGACCGGAAAAATGTTTTTTTTTCTGTCTGGTAGACAAAGTTTTGGTTTAAGTTTTAATGGTTCCATGATGACATTAAACTTAAGATGCTAAGCATCAGCAATTGTGGTGTTGTATTTTTTTAAAGCTGTAAACATGTAAACAGGAAAGTCCCACACAACACTATTCCAGCCACGAGTTAGGTAACATTAAATGACTTGATTATGGACATTCAGCTTACTTTCTAGTTCACCAAGACATGCTGTTGTTGTTATGTTAGCTATAGTATATTATAGCTCTTAGCTGTATAGAGTTGTGAGTATCACTGTCTGTAGCTGGTGCGCTGGCTCTAGGACAATCTCGTCCTCTCTGCATGTTAGCTTCACAGCAACCGTAGCAACAGTTTGCTAAACCACAATTTAGCTATCTTTGTGTAGTAACAACATACACAGGGAACAGCAGCAGCTTCAAGAATTCTCAACCATAATATGTCATTTTAAAGTTTAGCTAGGTTTAGAGGAAGGACAGTGTTTAAATATGTACAGTATGGGACTCCTCACAAGTATTTGAAAACAGGCTGTTGTAATATCCCTCTCTGCAGAGAGGGTAAGTGCACATGTAGTCGTGTGGATGACTTCCAACCAGACTGTTCACTGTGTAGGGCAGAGGAACAATATCTATGTAATCCAGGTTGTTCAGGATGCAACACAGAATGAACAACTGAAGAAATGTAAAATGTGAGTTGGTCTGATTTGACAAAGTTGATCCCAACACTACACACCCCTCTGTCCTCAAGATAAACAGGAAAGCTCTTTCTCACAGATCCAGTTCTTCTTATCATTAAATCCGCTCGTTGTCCATTTTCCTTGTTTATCGCAGAATGCTGCAGCGTAATAATAGTTGCTGTGCGGGTGTCCTATTGCCCAGAACCTGGAGGAGAAATAAAATGTTGTCACTCCTGATTATTTTCAATTTGAAGGAAGATGTTGATTTTTACTTGAAATATTTTTATTGTCAGTAATAAATGACAATTATATTTTCAATAACGTGTTTAGATTAGTAAATTAATAAAATGTGAAGTAATATTTTTTTCATTTGTTTTCATAATTTTAAAAACAAACTTATTTTAGTAACAAAATGAATTGTGATGGAAACTAAAAACTTTAAAATCGTCTCACTGTACTGTCAGCGGTGAGTCGTCCACCCATTTCCATCCTGTCCGTTCTGTGGCCCGTAGACCAATCCAGGAGTCTCCATCCTTGTTCAGCTCAGTGACACATTTCTAGTAGTTGACAAGAGACAATAATCATTTCTCTGTTCATAATTCAGTAATTCTATTGTGGTACATGTGTGATGTCTGAAAAGTCTGAAGGAAAAAAATCTGTGGCAACTTTTCAGTTCATCAGTGGTGCATAAATCAGAAACACTCAGAGGACTGATGGAATTCAGCTCCTCTTGTAGAATAAACATTGTTCAATGGTGGGAAAAAGTACTAAATGTTCCTACTTAAGTAAAAGTACAGATACCACACTAAAATGTTACTCAAATAAAAGTCATCCAGTAAAATACTACTCAAGTAAAAGTGAAAAAGTACCTGGATTTAAAAGTTCATGAGTATCAAAAGTAAAAAGTACTTTTCAAATCTATTGATCCTACAAAAAGCAACGTATCTTTTTAAATTTACTGAAGACAGTGCCGTGTAAAAAGTTCAAGACTTTGGCCAAATAAAAAATCTTGAACTTTTACCAACATGTTTATTTTCAACAAAAATAGACAGCAGTTAGAAAAGAAAAGTTTCAGCGGAGAGGTTCAGAGATGGATGCAAAGTAGAGTCCCATTCTGTTACCAGAACAGAGACCGGAGTTGACATGAAGCCATGTAACAAGTGATTTTCACCTTGTTTTGGACCTCCTTTTATAGCTCTGTTTCTAAGCATTACATCACCTCTTGGCTCTCTTTCCTGCTGCTCCTGGATCTGTGGAAATCCCCAGATATTTGGTGTCTCTTATCATCTTCTGACCTTTCAGCATTTTGGTGGATTGTCACTTTTATTTCAGTGACTGTTGCATTCTCGGCCCGGCTACGCTGCTCCCCCTCTCTGTGGCCTTGGCGTGCTTACTGCTGATCATAATATCTCAACCATAACCTGACTTTGTGGAATGTCCTGGTGAGCTGGTGTCTTTTGTGCTGTGTGCTAGAGACAGGGCGTTCTTACTGTGCACTGTCTTACTGTGCTCCCTCACTCTGCTGTGTTTCCTACCTCTGCCCAACAGCACAAATGCTTGCTTACACACACTCAGGTCCTTCTGTTGAGCCCAGGCAGTCAGATACAGAGAGGAGCACATACACACAGAGCTAGAGAGCTTTTACACTGTGGTCTGAACTTTACGTGTCTATATAGAATATATATTTGTGGCAATGCGTCGTCATAGGAAGCCGACTGGCTGCAGGTCAAAAACAGAAGTAACAGATCACTGGCAGCTACATCTAAGATCACACACTCAGTAACAAACACACTCACCTGTTCCTCTTTGTTGTTTATGATCACCAGATCTGCTCTACTACTTTGACAGTCACTTCTACTGTTATACCAAGTTTTCTTCTCATTGGATTTAAAGTAACAGCTGCATCCAAATCTCTTCCATCCTTCAGGACACCACTTCCCTTCATGTCAAATGAGTGTTAAAAGATGGATTTCATGTCATTTAAATTGATTAAACCATGTTTCACTTTCTTCTTAAATATCTTTCTTGCCTGCCACTTGTTGTTTGCTCTATAAAAGTAATGGCAAAGTCAAGTTAGATCAAGTGAATTAGTTTGATGCTGGTGTTCATTGTTCATCACCTTCAATTTTATCCTTCAGCTGCTTTACTTCATTCTGTAACTGACTGTTGTTGACTGTCATTTCTTGAGGAAAAACAACAAGAGATAAAAGAGTCTTTAGAATATTTTAAAATATGTATTCTTAATAAGCAGTCTGAAGTTAGATGCTGTGTATTTTGGTATTTGCTTATTTTGTTTTGAAACCCCGCGACCTGATCCCGGATAAGCGGATGAAGGTGGATGGACGGTTTTTAAACCTTTCTTACCTGAAATTTGTCCCTGCAGCTCACTGTAGTTGTTGTACAGTTTGTCGTATCTGGTCTGCAGCTGGTCTTTTTCCGAAGTGACTGAAATATCTGGTGAGAAGCACAACAACATAAGAAACACACCAACAACACCAAATCATTTGCCTCAAACTAAAGACAGAATTGCATTACTTTCTCTGCATATTTTAATGTTCTATGATAAAACACCTTTCGTGTTATCAGACCATCCAAAGCGCTTTACATGTTACATTCACACTCGTTCATCACAATGTGGTGTTCAGTATCATCCCAAAGGACACTTTGACATGCAGACTAGAGGAACCTTCCGATTAGTGGGCGACCCTCTTTACCTCCTGAGCCACAGCCGTCCCAAAAAACATCAAGTAACTATAAAAGAGATTTTTGTTTTTTTAGCTATGGGGTATATTTTATTTTCAGAGATGTTGTCTATATGTTTTTAAACAATAAGTACAGACTCATATGCACTATGTTCATTGACATCTAATCCTCTCAGAACTGGCTCTGAAGTAATTCCCCTCCTAGCGTGACTGCAGTGTAAAAATTATGGACATGAAAACAACAGTCTTTGTTGTGTGCAAAAAGTTTTTCTTAAGTTCAGCCAAAGCTAGAATGAGGCTTCATTAGTCTGAGTTAACCAGAATGAAAGTTTACTTGTTTTTAGTAAAATGTTCCCACTTTGTTTCCACGGACTGTGTTTCTTTACTGAGCTGTGCGGTGGAAGGATGCTGCCGAGACACAACACTGGCAATAACCCAACCTGTTACTAGGATCAAGATACCTGTTTGATTTTTATAACTCAGACTGCTGTGATCTCATAATAACTTCAGCTGAATGTTAGAATGCATTTATACACAGAGCTGGCAGGACAAATGATTACAGCGATAAATAAATCTTTCAGCATGCATGTGGCAGGTCAGTATTATATGAAGATGAACAAAAAATAAGAACCTATCCTTTAAAGTCTGAAGCTGGTGCTCAAGACAAAACCAGACCGTCTCAACCTCCTCCAGCTTGATTCATTAGATCTGGTTGTGGAGAACTAGAAAGTACACTTTAGTGTAACTGAGCAAACTTTGGTGGAAAACATTTAATAAATGTGCTTCATAGACCAGTTGCAGCAGTTTTTCTGCATTGTGAACAGGTTCAGTATTTGGTTGTCAGTAGTTGTGGGGTGTATTTTATCTTACAACGTATGTATAGGAGGATGATTCCAGTTATGGTCAGAATGCACAGCACTCCAAGACAAAATGCAGCAGCTCTGAAAGGCCTGCTTTGGACGGCTGGAGGATGATTCTCAGTGTGCGGTCCTAAAGTGGCAAAGCACACAGAGAGCGGGTTCATTAAAGGAAAACAACATGCGTCATGTTATCATTCCCCACACATAACATTTTAGTCAACAGCTTCATTGTTTTGATCTGTGGTTCTAAAATGGAGTGTTAACATTGGTAATCATTTACATTTTGTTAGATTTTAAACAAATCATATAAAAACTTATGGAAATCAATTATTATTGTGATGTAAAACAAATATGAACTCATCTGAAATGTTGATCCGTTATGGGCAATTCGATTGCACAGCTCGCAACTTTGCATAATCTCCTCTTGACTTTCTCTCTTGGCTCTGTATTAATAACTTCTTCCTGTCATGTGGCTGCTGTTTACATTTCTTTGTAAAACTTTACTAGAGCTGACGCTTGTTGGCTAAATGTTACCTTAACCTATATGAATGGCCAAAACAATTAAACATTAGATCCAGATTTTGGTTTTAAAAACTTGGCAGAAGATTACAGAAAATGAACACATGAACAATGAGTCATCTACTCAGAGAGCTCTAATACTTTTTTTAGCAGAACATAATCCAACCAGCTACAGGAATAAATGTATAACATGTTTAGTATGAACCCCTTGTGTTTTTGTGGATGTTTCCTGTAGTTAGTTGGATTATCTTCTGCACTGTCAGTTCAGTTTTTTATTTTTAGATTTCCAATCAGCCTAAGTTTGTTTCTATTCATTTAGAGTTAACTTATGGGTCAAACATTAGTCCAACATGATTTAAAAAGACACACTCATACAGAAGCAAGATAAACATTATTTTTTTACATCATTGATTTGTCATAATTTCTCACTTACCTCCGTCGTGTGACTGAAGATCAGTGTGATCATCTCTGATATCGTCTGTACTCTCGTAGATAGCCACCGTTCTTTCTTCCCACTCTACGTTGTCCTCCTGCACCTTTCTGTTGTATCTCACCTTCTTTGAGAAATCTGGTTTGGCATAAATATCTGAGGACATCTTGAGAGGACTGAGACAGTTGAACAGTAGCTGCACTTCACTTCCTGTAACTGTTCTGTGTTGATTGGTTACTATGCTGCTGTAAACCTTCAATGTGTACAAGTATACTCTGCAGTACTAACTGTAGTAGATATAAATTCATTAACATAATAAACTGTATTGACGCTGCTGTCAGTCTTACAGGGCGGCTTCTGTCTGGTTTCAGTAGAGAAAAATGAGGAAGTAGCAGCATGCAAAGAAACACACACTCACTTTTTATTCATTTGACTCTTCTGGACCCCCCCCCACACACACACACACACACACACACACACAGCAGATTAACAGTTTGGCCAAAACAGGAAATGTCTATTTTCTGTTGCTTCCACAGAAAAAACGGAATCATTTCCAACTAAGCTGTGATGTTTAACGAAGTTGTAATGACAATCCTAACTCTATGACAATTAATACATTAAAATACATATCCTACATACATACTTTCACTACTGTGAGGCAGATTGTCCTGAAATGAAATGTGGTGACACCATTACTGCCACCGTCTGGCCTGAGCTTCCAAAAGGCAAAAAAAAACCCACAAAAAAGTTGAAGCACCTTCATTCACCACAGTGGTTGAACCTTTTTTGATTTGGCCTTTTTGTAGATTTACATTTTGCACTTCTGAGTAATGAAATACAGTTGATTTTCTCATGGTTGCCTTTTTATTATGTTGTTTTTAAGGGAGGGCAGCAAGAACTATTGATAAAGAGAGGGAGAAATGCTGTACACAAAGATTAGAAACCATTACATCACAGTTACACATGTTGGCCTCCATGGTCACCAGGAAACTCTCAATACATTGGTTTCTCACAGATCCATTGATTGGATCCTGTGTTGATGTATTCCCATGTTCCTTTCAGATTAATATATGCTTTGGACCCATTCACAGCATTTACATTCATACCTGCCTGCCAGGCCCTGTGGAACAGAATAAGTACTATATTGTTACAGGGAAAAGCTGCAAAACACATGGGATTATTGATATAAGATTGTACATGCAGTTATTGTGCCTGAAAGAGCTCATAAAATGAATTATGGACTGAAAACCCTCTTGAGCATCATGTTTACTTTCTTTATATCTTTTAACTCGTATGTAATCTACAGAAGAAGAGTTTCAAAAAGAGGAATTTGTTTTTTTATTCCAAAGTCAATTCATATTTAAAATTCATATCAAAGCAATTGTTTTTTCACCATGCTCAGCTTTCAGTAAAGAGGGCAGCACAGAGGATTAATATGAACATGTTGGCGCCTTCGTGTGGTGGAGCAGTAGAATGCAAGTTCATTATACATCATTTTTACTCAGCTACACACCACACATGATGTGGCTTGATTAGTCAAGTTAAACCCATTTGTGGAATTGTTCAGTGATTATCATTATCTCAACACTGTCGGACTCACGCAGTGCTAATTTAAAATACATTTTAACATTATTTGAAAACGTGATTGACTTGATGAAACATTAAGTATTGTTCATATTAAGATTTCAGTTTCTTAAAAATACTAGCATATAAATGTTGACATATCATGATTTAACAAAAACTAGAATTTCTCACGTATATGTCAGAGTTGATCCGTCCACCCATTCCCATTTGTTGTTCCAACCGTTTTTCACTGATTTCAGACCGATCCAGGAAGCTCCATGTTTACTCAGCTCTCTGACAAAATCCTGATCATTTTGCAGAAGAGCAGATAATTATTTCTCTGTTCATACATTAGATTTTCAGTGGTAGTAAATTAATGTTGTCATGTTTTGAACATCTCTGATGAAAGAAGAAATGCAAAAAGTTTTGTCAATAACTATAAAGATTTGTCCTAAACACAAATATGTGGATATATGTTGTCCTGTGTTAGCCGTTTCCTAACGGTTTCTACCATAGAGGCAGTAGAAACCGTTAGGAAACGGCTAACACAGGACAACACCCTGGACAACAGAACTAGCCTCAGCCCTGACCAAATCTGCAAATTACTCGACCTCTGTCTAAACACCACCTACTTCCAGTACAACGGTGGATTCTACAGACAGAAGCATGGCTGTGCCATGGGCTCACCGGTATCCCTGATTGTGGCAAACATCTACATGGAAGAAGTGGAGAATAAAGCCCTCAACTCCTTCAGAGGAACAGCACCGAGCCACTGGTACAGAAATGTGGACGACACCTGGGTCAAAATTAAAAGCCAGAAGTCAAAATTAAAAGTGCAAGCCTTCACAGAACACATCAACTCTGGAAAGCAACATCAAGTTCACACGATAAGATGTCCTCAACAACTGTTTGGCCTTCCTGGACTGCGCTGTACACATTGAAGAGGACAGGAGCCTGCAGATTGGTGTTTACAGAAAACCCACACACACAGACCAATACCTACTCTTCGATTCACACCACCCACTGGAGCACAAGCTAGGGGTCATGAGAACACTGCACCACAGAGCGGAAAACATACCAACAAGCGCCCAAGCCAGAGAGAAGGAACAGAACCACCTGAAGGGGGCACTTACAGCCTGTGGATACCCTAAATGGACCTTTGTGAAAACAGCCACAAGATCCAAGAAGAACAAAACTACAGGGGAGGAAAAGAAGGTCAAACGCAACAACATTGTGATTCCATACGTGTCTGGAGTATCAGAGAAACTCAGGAGGATTTTCAACAAACACAACATCCCTGTGTTTTTTAAACCCAAGAACACACTAAGACAGATACTGGTCCACCCCAAAGACCGCACACCCAAACACAAGAAAAGCAATCTAGTGTATGCGGTCCAATGCAGTGAGGAATGCACAGACCTGTATATTGGGGAGACTAAACAACCACTACACAAACGCATGGCTCAACACAGAAGGGTCAACTCCTCAGGTCAAGACTCTGCAGTCTACTTACATTTGAAGGACAGAGGACACTCGTTTGAGGACCACCAGGTGCACATTTTAGACAGAGAAGATGGATGGTTTGAAAGAGGTGTCAAGGAAGCATCTACACCAGGGTCGAGAAGCCGTCCTTGAACAGGGGAGGGGGTCTACGCCACCACTTATCCCCCACTTATCCCCCACTTACAATGCTGTCCTTTCATCACTTCCCAGGAAACTCAACAAACGTAACCTATTGGCCTCAGGTGAAGATACCAACGATGAGTCGTTCAGTCTTGGCCACAGGTAGTCTTAACGACTGTAACGACTGTCGTCACAGCAACAAGGAACACTAACGAACCAGCGGTATCGATGACCCGGGATAACGACCCCACTGAGGTTAAATAGCTGAGTTTCCCTGCCAGTCAGTCAGAACTGAAGAAGTCCTTCGGATGAAGGACGAAACGTCTTCCAGTATCTTCAACCAAGTCCAGTTGCCCTTGATTTTAACCTTCGTTGGATGTACTTTCAAATGTTATTGGTAATTTTTAAGCCAGCTATCCAGTTTAGCATCAACTTTCAACAGCCCACATTCACACTGCAATTTCTTCAGAAACTGGATTCTGTAGTTATTCATCGACATTCTCTCAATAAGACAGCACCTATCCACTTCATAATGACCCATAGTGAATGGTGACTGATTAGTGAATTATGAATTTTTATATAGCCACACAAAAATGTACATTAACGTCCTTCTTACAACATCATTTCAGACTTACTTGCTTTTTGTGACCCAGGATCAGCGTGATGCTTTTCATCCTCTGAGATCTCCAGCTGATTCTCCTCTCCCGCTCCTCTGTTGTCTTGAACTCTTCGGGTATATCTCACATTCAAGCTTGAATCTGGTGCAGCGAGAATCCTTGCAGACATTTCGATTAACTGAAAACGTAGTGAACCGTTTCACTGTCTGCTAATTTGTCTTTGAGTTGGGCAGCTTTCAAAAGAGGAAGTAACAGCAGGACACACCGCCACCAGAGATGCACACCACAACATATGTGTTTGTGTTGATGAAATAATTTAATTGAGGCATAAACTACATATAACTATATTTGAATCTGAAAAATGAAGGTGTTTTTTGGTCAGTGCACTGAGAAAGTATATGGTTTTCACTCAACAGCACATATATGTGCTCACATACACACATTTGTGCAAAGCTGCATTCATGTTGACCGTGCAGTTTAATAACTCTGACACAGGAAATTTGATGTTTTCACCGGAAAGTTATTTTTGTTCTGTCTAGTAGATGAAATGACATGAAATTTTAATTGTTAAATGATGGTACAAAAAAAATTTTTAAACAAATAATTGTGCTGCTTTAATTTCATGAAGAAGAAGACGAGAATCTTCCTCTCTGACCCAAACAGAGCAAGTTTGCTGCTCAGTTTTTAGATGTTTACTTTACAAAACTCTACTCAAACACTGTTTTTCTTGTGAATGTATAACCACAGTCTCAGAGAATCTTCAAGTCTTTTTCTTGTTTTTGTCTCTGAGCTTCTCGGTCATCCAGGTCATAGTTATCCAAAGGAGGTTAAAGTCAAAGGCAACTGGATCCAAGACTTCTTCAGTTCTGGGAAGTCAGCCGGAACTGAAGAATCTCTTGGATGAGGGACAAAATGTCTTTATAGTATGTTCTACCAAGTCCAGTTGCTTGACTTTTCTTGTCTTTGCTCTGTGAAGTTTTTATCCCATCTACAATGATTCTAATGCATCGTCAGGGCCGTGCAGAGACCTTTGGATCGGCAGGTGCTCAAAGTACAAAAGGGGCACATGGAACAAGTATTTAAATAGGGCTGTTCTCAAAATATCGATACTGAAATATATTGTTATGTATTCTTTGATTATATGCGTATACAGATGCTTCAGTATCGATACATCAGCAAATGCACAGTTTTGAAAAAGAAACACAGGGAACACCCAGTTCTGGCTTTAAAACACGGTGGGCTGACACAACTTACAGGGAACAGTTGCTGTTGAGGGGTTGCTGGGGATGTTGCTGCTGATACTACAGGAGGTGATCTGTGACTAGAGATATTATAACAAGCATAGGAGATACAGTGGGTACGGAAAGTATTGAGACCCCTTTAAATTTTTCACTCTTTGTTTCATTGCAGCCATTTTCCAAAAATCAAAAAGTTCATTTTATTTCTCAGTAATGTACACTCAGCACCCCATCTTGACAGAAAAAAACAGAAATGTAGAAATTTTTGCAAATTTATTAAAAAAGAAAAACTGAAATATCACATGGTCATAAGTATTCAGACCCTTTGCCGTGACACTCATATTTAACTCATTAACTCACTCACTTAACTAATTAACCTGTTTTACCAATGTTGTTATAATTATTTTAAGGTACACTACATTTTTTTATTAACTTACCTTAATAATCCTAGTCCCCGCGACCCTGTACGCAGGATAAGCGGTTGACGATGGATGGATCGAATAATCCTAGTTCAAGTGAAGGGCTTTTAGTCAAATTACATAAAAAATACATTACCCCGCCGACGCCCATGAAACTTTTCTCCCTCAAACAGCAAGAACGAAGTGAACAGAGCACCTTTGTTTATCTGTGTGCAGAAGTAACGTTAGCTGTCGGCACAGTCGTCGGCAGCTAACGTTACTTCTACAGGCGACACACAGCAATACACTCACCTAAAGGATTATTAGGAACACCTGTTCAATTTCTCATTAATGCAATTATCTAATCAACCAATCACATGGCAGTTGCTTCAATGCATATAGGGGTGTGGTCCTGGTCAAGACAATCTCCTGAACTCCAAACTGAATGTCAGAATGGGAAAGAAAGATGATTTAAGCAGTTTTGAGCGTGGCATGGTTGTTGGTGCCAGACGGGCCGGTCTGAGTATTTCACAATCTGCTCAGTTACTGGGATTTTCACGCACAACCATTTCTAGGGTTTACAAAGAATGGTGTGAAAAGGGAAAAACATCCAGTATGCGGCAGTCCTGTGGGCGAAAATGCCTCGTTGATGCTAGAGGTCAGAGGAGAATGGGCCGACTGATTCAAGCTGATAGAAGAACAACTTTGACTGAAATAACCACTCGTTACAACCGAGGTATGCGGCAAAGCATTTGTGAAGCCACAACACGCACAACCTTGAGGCGGATGGGCTACAACAGCAGAAGACCCCACCGGGTACCACTCATCTCCACCACAAATAGGAAAAAGAGGCTACAATTTGCAAGAGCTCACCAAAATTGGACAGTTAAAGACTGTAAAAATGTTGCCTGGTCTGATGAGTCTCGATTTCTGTTGAGACATTCAGATGGTAGAGTCAGAATTTGGCGTAAACAGAATGAGAACGTGGATCCATCATGCCTTGTTACCACTGTGCAGGCTGGTGGTGGTGGTGTAATGGTGTGGGGGATGTTTTCTTGGCACACTTTAGGCCCCTTAATGCCAATTGGGCATCGTTTAAATGCCATGGCCTACCTGAGCATTGTTTCTGACCATGTCCATCCCTTTATGGCCACCATGTACCCATCCTCTGATGGCTACTTCCAGCAGGATAATGCACCATGTCACAAAGCTCGAATCATTTCAAATTGATTTCTTGAACATGACAATGAGTTCACTGTACTAAAATGGCCCCCACAGTCACCAGATCTCAACCCAATAGAGCATCTTTGGGATGTGGTGGAACAGGAGCTTCGTGCCCTGGATGTGCATCCCACAAATCTCCATCAACTGCAAGATGCTATCCTATCAATATGGGCCAACATTTCTAAAGAATGCTTTTAGCACCTTGTTGAATCAATGCCACGTAGAATTAAGGCAGTTCTGAAGGTAAAGGGGGTCAAACACAGTATTAGTATGGTGTTCCTAATAATCCTTTAGGTGAGTGTATACAACTACTGTGCTGCTCTCTTTGCGTCTTTCTTGTAAAACACATCCAACAACCCACAACAAGCACATTGCGGCAAACCCCTCTGACCGGCGGGATCGCAGTTGTCCTGTAGTCAGAGCTGCTGAATCACTAACGGTGTCTGAACGGGAGGGCTCGTCACGGATGAGGTCATCAGGTGAAAGGTCATAATGTGTCATTTTATTTACTGCGAAAATATTAATAATTAATTTTACTAATATTTTGATTCGGCAGGCCTTCACAAATGGACCTTTACAAATTTAAAAATTAATTAATTAATTAAATTTGTCATTGACAAAAGGGCACTTTGGGCATCAAAGGGCAGGTGCTCAAGCACCCGTTGCACCCCCCTCTGCACGTGCATCGTCATAGGAAACCGACTGGTAGCAGGTTAAAAACACAACTAACAGATCACTGGCAGCTAAGATCACACACTCAGCAACAATACTGGTGTTTACTGTTCATCACCTTCAATTTTGTCCTTCAGCTGCTTTACTTAATTCTGTAATTGGCTGTTGTTGACTGTTATTTCTTCAGGAAAACAACAAGATATAAAAGAGTCAGACAATTTTAAAATATGTATTCTTAATAAGCAGTGTGAAGTTGGATGCTGTATCGCGGTAGTTGTTTGTTTGTTTGTTTGTCAGTTTGTCGTATCTGGTCTGCAGCTGGTCTTTTTCCAAAGTGACTGAAATATCTGTTGAGAAGCACAACAACATAAGAAACACACCAACAACACCAAATCATTCATGCCTATGAAGCGACAAATAGAGCGTGATCTGCCTCTATATTTGTTTAAAAGTTGACTCAGTCCCTTCTGTCCTCTTTTTGTTGCAGTTGTTGGTTTCTTTCAGTTTATTATCAGAGAATAAACAGAGAGGGATTCAAGTAATGACAATCCTTGACGTGAATGCATGACCGCACTGTAGGTGAGCAAAGAGAGAGGTATTTTTGACAGCTGTAAGTAACGTTAATGCCATTATGGTGTCACAGTCTAAGATGCAAAGAACATTGTCGTCTGTTGTAAACTTTGTGCGACCAGCAAAAAGTTTTTGCTGCTGCCAGTGATGCTCGGACTCATCGGGAGAGAGTGGCGTTATCTCACCCAGTAGTAGGGTAGAGTAGCTAATATTACTTTTTTAAGGAGTAACTAGTTGGTAATAACTATAGGCTGAGTAACTTTCCCAACACTGAGTTGACAATAAGGATCGGATAAATTGGGTATGTTTTGATTATTGCTTGTTATAGGCATCTAATGTTTACTTTGACATTGTTGTCGATTGATCAATCATATAGGCCAGGGGTCTTCAGTTAAAATTCAGAGAGGTCCAGTTAGAGAAAATTTCACAAAGCAAAGGTCCGCAAACATCAACTTGCGTCTACCATAACCTAAAGCCTTAGTTGCATCAACATATGTTTTTTGTCCTTTGATACTATTTCAACAATAGTTTTCACATAAAACTGAAGGGATAATAAATAATAACCACTCTAATAATACATTCTAAATTTAAGTAATCTAAAGGCTGCATTTAAAAAACGGTTTTGTAAATGTGCATCGTAAAATAAATTAATTTTAATTGTTGTAACTTTTAGTGACTGAAGTTCAGTCTCAACCAGTTTTATAATTAACACTCAACACATCTTAACAAATGAACAGCTGTAATGCCGCCTCCTTCTCTTTCATTCCCTCTTTTATAGCTACCACTTCCCTACTTTCTCTTGTTTAGTGAGAAATGTGAGCTCTAGCTAGGACTGGAGATAAATGAGATATTCCGGTTTTGAACCAACCGTGGGAAGAATGTACATGTGAGAATCTGTACATTCTTGGTTAAAAGTCATGTGAAGTCTCTTTCTCTTTCCTCTCCTCTCTTCCTCTGTGTATCTCACTCGCGGACTCGACTCGCAATGCTCAGGGCCGTTAACGGCTCTGGCAATGCTTAACAATGGACAGATTTGATTGGCTGAGCAGCCTCACATGAGACGATTAGAGAACATGCGATTGGTTTGTGAGTTTCCTATGCCGCTGAATGAGGACAGTAAATGTTAGAGAAGCTGCGCATTTTAAAATAGAAAAGCTCCATCATGAGGTAGTAATTCTCAATAACAGATCGACTGTACGTCCAGACAATGCGGCCGCTGGGTGCGGATCCGGATCGCGGTCCGCCTATTTTTGACCTCTGATATAGGCTATAGGCTACGCTTTGCTGTATGGATGGTTGCTTTTTAAGTCGCCCTTATGTTAAAGGTTTGGCACGTTATAAATTAATTTCTTGTGAATTGTTGTGACAGGGTTTTCATACGGCTGTGATCCGCGGGGTCGCTCTGCGCTCCTCATCAACAGACAGGCAAACAAGCGCTCTGCGAGGTAACCATGGCAACAGCTTCTGTGTAACCGGCGCGATCCCGTGAAACTGTCGCGGCCGTTCTGGTCTCACGCTCACGGCCGCCCGCTGTCAGAGTTGAAATGAAATGAAAAACTTTTTCCTACAGTTTATCAACAGACAGAGACTGATCTGCCACCAGGTCTTAAACAGGCGACAACCTTTGCTGCTGTTTCATTAAAAATAATCTATTAACTTCTACTGAACTAATTTGAAAGTTAGTAGTTATATTATTTAGTTATAGACTCAATTATTTCATGTTGCTTGTTGCACATTTAGTGGTTGAAGTTTGAAGCCAATCACATGCCTGCTTTGTGGGGATGTCCATGCACACAGGCTAGTTTTACTATCATTGTCCGGACGCACACACACTCAACGGATAGAGGATTTTAGTCATGGGACGTCTGGATCTCAAGTTATCAGAGAAACAGGCTCAGCAACATTAGTGCCAGCTAGTGCACAGTGATCACAGAATAGCATCAGAATTTCAACATCTTTCAAACATTATTGGTATTATTCAAGCCAGCAATCAGTTTAGCGTCAGCTTTCAACAGCCCACCATCACTCTGCAGCTTCTTCAGAAACTGGATTCTCTAGTTACTCGTTGTCATTCTGTCAGTAAGAAAATTGACTCTTGTGGCACCAGATTACAGAAACAAGACACCTGATAATGACCCATAGTTAATGGTAACTGATTAATGAATTGTACATTTTTATATAGCCACACAAAAATGTACATTAACGTCCTTCTTACAACATCATTTCAGACTTACTTGCTTTTTGTGACCCAGGATCAGCGTGATGCTTTTCATCCTCTGAGATCTCCAGCTGATTCTCCTCTCCCGCTCCTCTGTTGTCTTGAACTCTTCCGGTATATCTCACATTCAAGCTTGAATCTGGTGCAGCGAGAATCCTTGCAGACATTTTGAAACACTGAAAACTTAGTGAACAGTTTCACTGTCTGCTTGTTTGTCTTTGGGTTGGGCAGCTTTCAAAAGAGGAAGTAACAGCAGGACTCACCACTGACACAGATGGACACCACAACATATGTATTATTGAAGACTTGACTTTAATTGAGTCATAAACCACATAAAACTATATTTAAAGCTGAAACATAAAGATTTTTTTTGTCAGTGACACTGAGGAAGTATATGGTTTTCACTCAACAGCAGGTTTGTGCTCACATTCACACATTTGTGCAAAGCTGCATTCATGTTCTCCATATAGTTTATTCACACATGCATCTCTGACACAGGAAATGTGATGTGTTGACCAGTTATTTTTGTTCTGTCTAGTAGATGAAATGACGTGACAAGTATTAATGGTTCAATGATAATAATAAACCTAACATGTTAAACATATAATTGTGCTTTGGTAATTTATGAAGAAAACAAAAGAGATGATTGAATATCATCCTTCCTGACGCACATGCAGAGGATGTGACTGTTACTATTCTGAGTATCAGTTCATGCATCGTGTGGATTTGATAGCTTTTGATTAGCAAAACAGCCCAAGTGTAAATGCAACCAAGCATTAAAGATGGATTGAAATCTTATTCAAAATCAGGTGTATTCTTCTCTCCAAAACACATTCATAATCTTTCCTCCTCCCAAGTGTAACTACATCAGTAAGTGGTCTGTGGAAGAAGCCTATGAGGTTTGTCCTTTATGATAATGGCTTAAATAACACTGAAACAGAAAGGAGCCGTCTTTCCCCTTGTTGTCATGTATGTGACATCTTAGGCTTTTTGAAAACAGGCTGTTGTAATATCCCTCTCTGCAGAGAGGGTAAGTGCACATGTAGTTGTGTGGATGACTTCCAACCAGACTGTTCACTGTGTAGGGCAGAGGAACAATATCTATGTAATCCAGGTTGTTCAGGATGCAACACAGAATGAACAACTGAAGAAATGTAAAATGTGAGTTGGTCTGATTTGACAAAGTTGATCCCAACACTACACACCCCTCTGTCCTCAAGATAAACAGGAAAGCTCTTTCTCACAGATCCAGTTCTTCTTCTGATCATTATATCCGCTCGTTGTCCATTTTCCTTGTTTATCGCAGCATGCTGCAGCGTAATAATTGTTGCTGTGCTGGTGTCCTGTTGCCCAGAACCTGTAGGAGAAATAAAATGTTGTCACTCCTGATTATTTTCAATTTGAAGGAAGCTGTTGGATTTCACTTGAAATATTTTTATTATCATAAATGACAATTACATTTTTAATAACGTGTTTAACACATAATTCAGCTTAGTAAATTAATATAATGTGAATTAATATTTTGTTCATTTGTTTTCATCTAATTTTAAAAACAAACTTCTTTTAGTAATAAAATGAATTGTGAAGGAAACTAAAAACTTTAAAAGCGTCTCACTTTAGTGTCAGCGGCGAGTCGTCCACCCATTTCCATTTCCATCCTGTCCATTGTGTGGCCCGTAGACCAATCCAGGAGTCTCCATCCTTGTTCAGCTCAGTGACACATTTCTAGTAGTTGACAAGAGACAATAATCATTTCTCTGTTCATAATTCAGTAATTCTATTGTGGTACATGTGTGATGTCTGAAAAGTCTGAAGGAAAAAGAAATCTGTGGCAACTTTTCAGTTCATCAGTGGTGCATAAATCAGAAACACTCAGAGGACTGATGGAATTCAGCTCCTCTTGTAGAATAACCATTGTTCAGTGGTGGGAAAAGTACTAAATGTTCCTACTTAAGTAAAAGTACAGATACCACACTAAAATGTTACTCAAATAAAAGTCATCCAGTAAAATACTACTCAAGTAAAAGTGAAAAAGGACCTGGGTTTAAAAGTTTGACTATCAAAAGTAAAAAGTACTTTTCAAATCTATTGATCCTACAAAAAGCAACGTATCTTTTTAGATTTACTGAAGACAGTGCCGTGTAAAAAGTTTAAGACTTAGGCCAAATAAAAAAGCTTGAACTTTTACCAACATGTTTATTTTCAACAAAAATAGACAGCAGTTAGAAAAGAAAAGTTTCAGCGGAGAGGTTCAGAGATGGATGCAAAGTAGAGTCCCATTCTGTTACCAGAACAGAGACCCGAGTTGACATGAAGCCATGTAACAAGTGATTTTCACCTTGTTTTGGACCTCCTTTTATAGCTCTGTTTCTAAGCATTACATCACCTCTTGGCTCTCTTTCCTGCTGCTCCTGGATCTGTGGAAATCCCCAGATATTTGGTGTCTCTTATCATCTTCTGACCTTTCAGCATTTTGGTGGATTGTCACTTTTATTTCACTTAACTTTAGGTGTCTATATAGAATATATTGGTGGTAGTTTCCCCTTCAGACCGTCTGACAGACACAGAACCACGTTTGGGACTGTATGTTAGGATGAGACAAGGAGGTGGAAACTAAAACTACCTGCAACACTTTCAGGCAGAAATCTCACCACAAATGTGAACTTCAGCACCTCCGATAAAGCTCACAGACCCAAACAGAGCCAGTTTGCTCCTCAGTTTTTAGATGCTTATAATGCAAAACTCTACTGAAACATTGTTTTTCAAGTTTTTTCTTTCAAATTTATAACCTTAGTCTCAGAGAGTATTCAAGGTTTTTTTGTCTTCGCTCCGTAATGTTTTTATTTCCACCTACAATGGCCCTAATGCATCGTCATAGGAAGCCGACTGGCTGCAGGTCAAAAACAGAAGTAACAGATCACTGGCAGCTACATCTAAGATCACACACTCAGTAACAAACACACTCACCTGTTCCTCTTCGTTGTTTATGATCACCAGATCTGCTCCTTTCCTTTGACAGTCACTTCTGCTGTCAGACCAAGTTTTCTTCTCATTGGATTTAAAGTAACAGCTGCATCCAAATCTCTTCCATCCTTCAGGACACCACTTCTCTTCATGTCAAATGAGTGTTAAAAGATGGATTTCATGTCATTTAAATTGATTAAACCATGTTTCACTTTCTTCTTAAATATCTTTCTTGCCTGCCACTTGTTGTTTGCTCTATAAAAGTAATGGCAAAGTCAAGTTATATCAAGTGAATTAGTTTGATGCTGGTGTTCATTGTTCATCACCTTCAATTTTATCCTTCAGCTGCTTTACTTCATTCTGTAACTGACTGTTGTTGACTGTCATTTCTTGAGGAAAAACAACAAGAGATAAGAATATCTTTAGAATATTTTAAAATATGTATTCTTAATAAGCAGTCTGAAGTTAGATGCTGTGTATTTTGGTATTTGCTTATTTTGTTTTGAAACCCCGCGACCTGATCCCAGATAAGCGGATGAAGGTGGATGGACGGTTTTGAAAGTTTTCTTACCTGAAATTTGTCCCTGCAGCTCGCTGTAGTTGTTGTTCAGTTTGTCGTATCTGGTCTGCAGCTGGTCTTTGTCCGAAGTGACTGAAATATCTGTTGAGAAGCACAACAACATAAGAAACACACCAACACCACCAAATCATTTGCCTCAAACTAAAGACAGAATTGCATTACTTTCTCTGCATATTTTAATGTTCTATGATAAAACACCTTTCGTGTTATCAGACCATCCAAAGCGCTTTACATGTGACATTCACACTCGTTCATCACAATGTGGTGTTCAGTATCATCCCAAAGGACACTTTGACATGCAGACTAGAGGAACCTTCCGATTAGTGGGCGACCCTCTTTACCTCCTGAGCCACAGCCGTCCCAAAAAACATCAAGTAACTATAAAGAGGTTTTTGTTTTTTTAGCTATGGGGTATATTTTATTTTCAGAGATGTTGTCTATATGTTTTTAAACAAAGTACAGACTCATATGCACTATGTTCATTGACATCTAATCCTCTCAGAACTGGCTCTGAAGTAATTCCCCTCCTAGCGTGACTGCAGTGTAAAAATTATGGACATGAAAACAACAGTCTTTGTTGTGTGCAAAAATTTTTTCTTAAGTTCAGCCAAAGCTAGAATGAGGCTTCATTAGTCTGAGTTAACCAGAATGAAAGTTTACTTGTTTTTAGTAAAATGTTCCCACTTTGTTTCCACGGACTGTGTTTCTTTACTGAGCTGTGCGGTGGAAGGATGCTGCCGAGACACAACACTGGCAATAACCCAACCTGTTACTAGGATCAAGATACCTGTTTGATTTTTATAACTCAGACTGCTGTGATCTCATAATAACTTCAGCTGAATGTTAGAATGCATTTTTACACAGAGCTGACAGGACAAATGATTACAAAGATAAATAAATCTTTCAGCATGCATGTGGCAGGTCAGTATTATATGAAGATGAACAAAAAATAAGAACCTATCCTTTAAAGTCTGAAGCTGGTGCTCAAGACAAAACCAGACCGTCTCAACCTCCTCCAGCTTGATTCATTAGATCTGGTTGTGGAGAACTGGAAAGTACATTTTAGTGTAACTGAGCAAACTTTGGTGGAAAACATTTAATAAATGTGCTTCATAGACCAGTTGCAGCAGTTTTTCTGCATTGTGAACAGGTTCAGTATTTGGTTGTCAGTAGTTGTGGGGTGTATTTTATCTTACAACGTATGTATAGGAGGATGATTCCAGTTATGGTCAGAAAGCACAGCACTCCAAGACAAAATGCAGCAGCTCTGAAAGGCCTGCTTTGGACGGCTGGAGGATGATTCTCAGTGTGCGGTCCTAAAGTGGCAAAGCACACCGAGAGCGGGTTCATTAAAGGAAAACAACATGCGTCATGTTATCATTCCCCACACATAACATTTTAGTCAACAGCTTCACTGCCTTCATCTGTGGTTCTAAAATGGAGGCTTAACATTGGTAATCATTTACATTTTGTTAGATTTTAAACAAATCATATAAAAACGTATGGAAATCAATTATTATTTTGATGTAAAACAAATATGAACTCATCTGAAATGTTGATCCGTTATGGGCAATTCGATTGCACAGCTCGCAACTTTGCATCATCTCCTCTTGACTTTCTCTCTTGGCTCTGTATTAATAACTTCTTCCTGTCATGTGGCTGCTGTTTACATTTCTTTGTAAAACTTTACTAGAGCTGACGCTTGTTGGCTAAATGTTACCTTAACCTATATGAATGGCCAAAACAATTAAACATTAGATCCAGATTTTGGTTTTAAAAACTTGGCAGAAGATTACAGAAAATGAACACATGAACAATGAGTCATCTACTCAGAGAGCTCTAATACTTTTTTTTAGCAGAACATAATCCAACCAACTACAGGAATAAATGTATAACATGTTTAGTATGAACCCCTTGTGTTTTTGTGGATGTTTCCTGTAGTTAGTTGGATTATCTTCTGCACTGTAAATGAATAGAAACAAACTTAGGCTGCAGTGTCATGGGATTGGAAATCTAAAAATAAAAAACTGAACTGAGAGTTAACTTATGGGTCAACCATTAGTCCAACATGATTTAAAAAGACACACTCATACAGAAGCAAGATAAACATTATTTTTTTACATCATAGATTTGTCATAATTTCTCACTTACCTCCGTCGTGTGACTGAAGATCAGTGTGATCATCTTGATATCGTCTGTACTCTCGTAGATAGCCACCGTTCTTTCTTCCCACTCTACGTTGTCCTCCTGCACCTTTCTGTTGTATCTCACCTTCTTTGAGAAATCTGGTTTGGCATAAATATCTGAGGACATCTTGAGAGGACTGAGACAGTTGAACAGTAGCTGCACTTCACTTCCTGTAACTGTTCTGTGTTGATTGGTTACTATGCTGCTGTAAACCTTCAATGTGTACAAGTATACTCTGCAGTACTAACTGTAGTAGATATAAATTCATTAACATAATAAACTGTATTGACGCTGCTGTCAGTCTTACAGGCGGCTTCTGTCTGGTTTCAGTAGAGAAAAATGAGGAAGTAGCAGCAAAGAAACACACACTCACTTTTTATTCATTTGACTCTTCTGGACCCCCCCCCCCCCCCACACACACACACACACACACACACACACACAGCAGATTAACAGTTTGGCCAAAACAGGAAATGTCTATTTTCTGTTGCTTCCACAGAAAAAACGAATCATTTCCAACTAAGCTGTGATGTTTAACGAAGTTGTAATGACAATCCTAACTCTATGACAATTAATACATTAAAATACATATCCTACATACATACTTTCACTACTGTGAGGCAGATTGTCCTGAAATGAAATGTGGTGACACCATTACTGCCACCGTCTGGCCTGAGCTTCCAAAAGGCAAAAAAAAACCACAAAAAGTTGAAGCACCTTCATTCACCACAGTGGTTGAACCTTTTTTGATTTGGCCTTTTTGTAGATTTACATTTTGCACTTCTGAGTAATGAAATACAGTTGATTTTCTCATGGTTGCCTTTTTATTATGTTGTTTTTAAGGGAGGGCAGCAAGAACTATTGATAAAGAGAGGGAGAAATGCTGTACACAAAGATTAGAAACCATTACATCACAGTTACACATGTTGGCCTCCATGGTCACCAGGAAACTCTCAATACATTGGTTTCTCACAGATCCATTGATTGGATCCTGTGTTGATGTATTCCCATGTTCCTTTCAGATTAATATATGCTTTGGACCCATTCACAGCGTTTACTTTCATACCTGCCTGCCAGGCCCTGTGGAACAGAATAAGTACTATATTGTTACAGGGAAAAGCTGCAAAACACATGGGATTATTGATATAAGATTGTACATGCAGTTATTGTGCCTGAAAGAGCTCATAAAATGAATTATGGACTGAAAACCCTCTTGAGCATCATGTTTACTTTCTTTATATCTTTTAACTCGTATGTAATCTACAGAAGAAGAGTTTCAAAAAGAGGAATTTGTTTTTTTATTCCAAAGTCAATTCATATTTAAAATTCATATCAAAGCAATTGTTTTTTCACCATGCTCAGCTTTCAGTAAAGAGGGCAGCACAGAGGATTAATATGAACATGTTGGCGCCTTCGTGTGGTGGAGCAGTAGAATGCAAGTTCATTATACATCATTTTTACTCAGCTACACACCACACATGATGTGGCTTGATTAGTCAAGTTAAACCCATTTGTGGAATTGTTCAGTGATTATCATTATCTCAACACTGTCGGACTCACGCAGTGCTAATTTAAAATACATTTTAACATTATTTGAAAACGTGATTGACTTGATGAAACATTAAGTATTGTTCATATTAAGATTTCAGTTTCTTAAAATACTAGCATATAAATGTTGACATATCATGATTTAACAAAAACTAGAATTTCTCACGTATATGTCAGAGTTGATCCGTCCACCCATTCCCATTTGTTGTTCCAACCGTTTTTCACTGATTTCAGACCGATCCAGGAAGCTCCATGTTTACTCAGCTCTCTGACAAAATCCTGATCATTTTGCAGAAGAGCAGATAATTATTTCTCTGTTCATACATAAGATTTTCAGTGGTAGTAAATTAATGTGTCATGTTTTGAACATCTCTGATGAAAGAAGAAATGCAAAAAGTTTTGTCAATAACTATAAAGATTTGTCCTAAACACAAATATGTGGATATATGTTGATAAGTTAACCTCTTTGAGTCGAAGGCCCCGGTTGGTAATCAGCTCCAACAAGCTCCAACAAAAAAACACACAATACTGTACACGTTAACAGAGAGGCACTCACCTGTTCCTCTCTGGTGTTTATTATCACCAGATCTGCTCCTCTCTTCTGACAGTCTGTCCTACTGGCTGTCCAGTTTTTCATCTCAGTAGATTTGTAGTAACAACTGCATCGAAATCTCGTCCATACTTAAAGAAACAGCATATTTTCATCGAGGTGTTTTAGTGATAGATTTCAAATAATTTAATATACTTTAAGAAACTACTTTAAGAAATTTAAATCTTTCTCACCTGTACTGTTCCGCTGTGTTTGTGTTTTTTTCTCCTCTACCAGACAGTACCTGTTTTCATAACGGGTCTTATTGCTTGCATCCTGGTTGTTTTCCAAAACGGTTGAAATATCTGGTATAAAAACACAACAAAAAGAGACAGTGATGTAAAATAAAACCAACAGATCATGGTTTTAAGTGACTCAAGATATGACATTGAATTACAGATAAATTCCTCACAGAGTCTGGACAGGATAGTGACTCCTACCACTAGCAGGAGACACAGTAGACCCAGAACCAGTGCCACAGCTCTAAAAGGGTTTCTTTGGACAGCTGGAAGATGATTTTGAGTGTTAGCTCCTATAGAGGCAAAGTACACAATATATTTTGATTAAACATGTATGCAGTAGCTGTTGGGCATTTCCTCCTTCAGGTCAGCTCATCTGAACACACAGCACCAAAGACATTTGATTTTAAAAGTAAGACCGTAATCCCAGCCAGTGGAAAACGAGTAGAATAAAGAATAATTATTAATCAATTAAAAATATTAAAATTAAAAGATAAAAAATTATAAATATATGTAATGTAAGTATTAAATACTCAAGTGTTCATTGGCCCTGTGTCATTGTAGGCTGTGCAATATTTTAGTGTTTGAAAAGTGAAATGTATGTCACAGTTTTAAGGCAAACTATTCATCTTGTACAGTCTCATGTACAAATATTAATATAATTTCATCAATATTAACACTGTTATATACAAATGTAATTCATAGATGATCTCCTAATTAGAATCCATACCCAGATACACTAATTTATTTTTTATATTAACATTAATATTTCCACAGTATTTAATACCTACGTACCTCCATCCTGTGTCAAAAGATCAACTTGATGGTTTGTAAAAGTGTCCATACCCTCGTAAATGTCGACCAGTCTCTCCACTCTCTGTCCTCTGTCCTCTCTTTCTCCTTTGCAGTATCTCACATTCATAGTCAAATTTGGGTCTTCATAAATGTTGGACGACATTTTGATGCCTGAGACAAGCAAAAGGTCCCTGCAGCTTTTCAAAAGTCTGAATTTACTCTATATTACACCCCACTCAGTCCAGTGCTCTAACATGAGCTGCTTTGCTAAATAGATTTTTGATATCTTAGTTTGTAATTCAAAATCCTGAATATGCAACTTGTGTGCTTTATTCTAATGCTGCTGTCTGTGTTTTCTGCCAAGGTTTCTCTGTCTCTCTGTTTCTGAATGTTCTGGCCAGGTTTCAACAGGAAGTAGTGGCAGGATAACGCACACAACACATAGCCAGACTTTAATCACTGTACGTTGAAAACCTCAAAACAAATTGGGCAATTTAAAATTCTACAATCTCCATTTGATTTTCTATTTTTTTCATTTAGTTTATTTAGAATATATATGGCTTTCACTCAGTGAACCACAATATACATGTATACATTTTTTTTGTCTGTCAGGGGTGTGATATGTGATCTGTAGTTGATAAAGTATGCTGGAGCACTTACTACTCCAGTACTGAGAACAGCATTAAAAAGTCACTTTTGCTAGTGTTGTTTGATAGAATAGAGTACAAGCATATATTAAAATTTTTATGAAGTAATAGTACTTGAAGAAGTGCATGAAGAGGTAATTCAGTACAGTGTCTGGATTAATATTTTCTTTTATCTCATTGTTACATATTCTCATAATGTTTTTAGGTTGACTATGTAACAACTGTCCAGGGCCTACAGATGAAAAATAGTATTTTGGCTATCTCTGGCACATTTACGTCAATGTTTTAATAATGTGCACTGTGCCTACTGAATGAAACTGAATAATAATGAATAAAAATAAACAATTTTTGACACCCAAGCTGTACAGCACAGTAAATGTTTGCAGTACAGCAGGTTCAAATGATGGAATAAAAAAACTACATAATGGATTAAACACTAAACAGGCACAAACATTTGAAGAAAATAACAGAAATAATACAAGCAGCCATGGTGTCATGTTATAGAACAACTTTTCTTAAAATGTCTTTGGCTCAGTGTTTCTGATCTTTATCACATTATGTGTGGCGCAACATGGTATCCTGAAGCAACATATACTACGGAAGTTCTTTTATCATCTCTACCATCATTTCCTTAATGACATCATTTCACACTATCAGATGTTACACCCCACAGTCTCAAAATAATCTAATATGACAAGTTTAAGTAGTAACAGATATCAAGGGGAGGGAAGCACTGACATTGGATTGTATTCAATGTTCCTGTTTATTTACAAGTCCCCATGATCAAAGGTTTCACAGGCGTGGCATTTTCATAAATGGTTGCATGAATCAGAGAACATACCAAACAAAATTGTTTAGCTTTAACTTTAAGGTTGTAGTTTGTTTGTGGTTAGAACGCAACACGGAGCAGCCACAAGAGTGTACATTGATTTATGCATGTGTTACATTTGAATTAAAAAGCTAAACCATTCAGTAGATTTCACTGCTGATCAGAGAAACAACTTCCCATCATTTTCTTCCCGTGTAAAGTTTATTTTATTAAAAATTTAAAACTATTATAGACAATAGGACACATCTAGTCTTAGAGATAGAGATATTATTTAAGGCAAAGCAAGTTTATTTATATTGCCCCAATCAGACACAAGGCAATTCAAAGTGCTTTACAAGAACATGGAAATACATTGAAAGTAAGTCATTAAGTAAGTAAGTAAGTCAAAATGATTTAAGACAATAAAGATACATTGCTTGGTGAAGCACCTTGATCCTGGGAACATTGAATAAACCTGTCCCAGGTGACCTGAGCGGGCAGGGATGTATTTTGTCCCGTGACCATTTAGTGCTTTATAACCAAGTAATAGGATTTTTAAATATATCCTTTGGCAGACAGGAAGCCATTGCAGTCATGTAGGTGTTAGTGAGGACTCTGGTTGCAGCATTGTGAACAAGCTGCAGCTGTTGATTTCTTTACTAAGACCTGTAAAGACACCATTACTGTAGTCTAGCCTGCTGAAAATAAACACATGAACAAGTTGTTGAGTATCTTGTTTAGAAAGAAATACTATGCTGTGTTTTTAAGGTGGTACTAGGCTGGTTTTGTAACAGTCTTTATGTGGCTGTTAGGTCAGAGTCAATAACCAAATCATGGGTTGAGCAATTTTGTCCAATGCGCTGTGTGATGACAGTTATGTAGAGTTGTGTGTCATCTGTATAGTATGTAATGTTAAAATAGTACATAATGTGAGCAAAGGAACCCCACATGGGATTTTTGTTTGCTCAGATTCATAATTACCAATTGACACAAGTAGTCTAGAAGTAGTCCCTCGTCTTGTGAACCAATTTCACGTAGTGCCAGAAAGTCCCACCCACATTTGGAGTCTGTTGAGCAGGATCTTATGTTCAACCGTGTTGAATACAGCACTGAGATCCAGCAATACCAAAACCAATTTTTGATGCCTCACTGCTGAGATGAACTCTAACAAGTGCAGTCTCAGTGCTGTGGTGAAAAGCATTAAAGACATTATGTTGCACTAAGAAAGTTAGCTCTACTAACTCAGGGTCTGAATCAGGTTTATACACTGCTAGATAGACTTAAGATATGGTACTGTATATCATGGGATGCATGTATGTTAGTAAAATCTATGTTGCAGTTATATAATGGTTTTACAAATACATTAAGGAAATAATTACTATAAAGTTATCCACATAGAGCATTTTATTAGTTATGTAGGACCCTTAATCTACTAATATCTTGTCTCACTAGTTTATTAATGTTAACCCTGCATCCAAGGTTTGGTCTAATATCCCATTTATACTTAGCCATTTTGTGCTTCTTGGGCTAATTGGATTTGCTGTCTAATTGCAAAACAGTGAATTGAAAATGCTTCCAAGAAGTATTCAAAACGGACCTAAATCTAGTTGCTCAAAACCACCTTGGGAGGAGGCTTGAGACGCATTCTAGCCTGTGTTGAAAAGGTTTTGCCCTCTGTTAATAACTTTCTCTCACTGGTAAATCAAATTTGTTTTGTGGCTGACTGAAATGCGTATATTTGATTATGTGTAAACTAAAGTATGTCAAATCACATCTGAGAAATTTGAAATAACAAGTGTAAATGTGGCCTAAATTAGGAGTTTTTAGAGCCACTGCAGTTATCAATGCAGCCTCTGAGCTATTATAATTCACCTTTTAATCAGAATGTTAAACCTGCATAAAACTTTTTGGTCACCTTGGCAAGTTGAGATTGTTTATAGAACTCGTTAGCGATAAGTTCTGCTTTAATTGGAAGCAGTCTTTCACCCAGCTTGCCTCTACACCGGAGCGTTATCAGACTGTGACGATCCTGGTCTTCAGCAGGTCCAAGCTGGACTCACAGGCTGTGCTGTAGTCCAGCCCTAATGCTGTTAGGACATTTATAAATCTTTCTGAATTCTGATTCTATGAATGCAACACTTGTCCCATTGCTGCATGTCTGTGAAAGCCAGTGACCCCTGGACACTGACATGGCTACTGAACGCGCTCATAAGAGGTGGAGGCTTCCTCTTCACCAAGCCTATTATTTTCCTCACATCAGGACACTGCAGGTGCTTGTACCATAGTCATTTACCAAAGAGGTTTTGTGAGAGTATATTGGGGAGGGGTTGACCTGTTTATCAATTAGATTTTAATGGACTTGCTACAAAGCACTCAGGGTTAACATCCGAGGATTCTGTCTGTTTAAATTGAATATCAGGAGGAAGTACAACATTTTAACCTAAATTCTAAATCTGTGTTAAAGACAGGGCTGGGCAATATGGCTCATAAATAATATCTTGATATTTTTAGGCTATGCCACAATAAACAATTTATATTTCGATATAGCAAAATAACATAACGTACATTCTTAAATAGTGCAAACATGTTGTTAAATATAACACATTATTGCATCTATAATATCAATCCAAAATATCATACATTATAGTAAAATGCTGCACAATGACTACTTTAAGTATATTTTGCTGGAATACATGCATTCTTTTGCCCTAGTAAGGTTTATCATGCAGACCTTTTACTTACAGTGGAGTATTTTATCAAAGTCAGGTTGGTATTAGTACTTCTGCTCAAGTAAAGGACCTGAATACTTCTTACCTGCGTGTTACACGACAAACAGCTTTCACTAACTATTATACTGTAACCTGAGCTAATCTACACCCTTTATGGTTGACGTCGTACAATGACTTTGTGTAAAACTCCTTTGCAGTTGTTGAAGCAGTTGTGAGGCAGCATATGCCTGCCGAAGTACAACATGATTGTCTGTCTTTTAACGCTCTCTCTCTCTCTCTCTCTCTCTTTCCAGGGGCCGACTGGTCCAGTAGGTGAGACAGGTGTACCAGGACCTCAAGGACCCCAAGGACCACAGGGACCCAGCGGACGGTCCATCATAGGGCCCCCAGTAAGATCAGCACACAGTCTCACCAAAAATTTGTTTTTGAAAGTTAATTTACATGTTTACATTAAGGTTTCATAGGCTGTAATGTCAAGGCTCCTATCACACTTTTCACATGTTCAGATGCAGTTTGTATTTTAAGTATAAGAGAAACACTCTTAACTTTTATCTGCAGGGTGCTCCGGGTGAGAGAGGACAGAAAGGGGAACAAGGACAACAAGGAGTGCAGGTAAAGAAAACTGTCAACAATATGTGAATCTAACATAAACATTTTAGACCCTGTTTATTGTCAGGTTAAGGTTAGGTAACATTTCAGTTGGTTAGTAGGGTTTCTGTATGTTACAGTTCATTTGATGTTAAAACACTGCTTGGTTTAGGTCTACAGGAGCAACATGTGAGTCATTCATGTGAACATTGTACATTTTGTCTGCTATTTATTGTTAAGAAATGTCAATAAATCACGTCTGCAGCCGCTTGTAGCTGCTCACTACAGGAGCGAACAGCTACAAAACGTGTTTATCATGACTGCTTTTTAAACTGCTAATTATATAATGCAGATTTTCACCTTGGTTTGACGGCGAGCTGTGAAATACAAGTGTTTTAGTCAGAGATACAAATTAATTAACAGTGTTATTGACAAAAAATTGGGCAGTGTGCTGTTTCAAACAGGACTGTTTCTTGAAAAGAGCCTCCCACAAGTAATTACTGCTCTACTGTAAATGATTGGGACTAATATGACATTTTGGAAACAAATAGTTGTCAAACTTTGAATAATGGTGCCATTTGCGAAAAGGTTGATTTCTGTGGTTCATATCTATTTCTATGCCCTGAGCTTGTGACTCTACAGCAAGATCTGTTCTTGTGGTGTTTGTGCAGCACATGTGCAGTTCATTTTCTTGTATTTAATGCCATTTTTGCCTTTATTGGAAGGTTGATAGTATATGAAGCAACGCAACAAATGTCCCCAGGCTGGAATCCAATAAGGGACGATGTAGTTATATGATACAAGTCTAAACCAATCAGCCGCTGAGTCACCACAGGAAGTCAGGCAGCATTAAGTAAACCACATCTTTTGCAACCCTGAAATAAGGAGTGTGCTTCGCTGCAAAATATTGAGCTTCTCATTTGAACAGACTGTCTGTTATTATATCTTAGTAGTGAAAACTACAAAGAAAGAAAACAACAGTCACCTAAAATTATCATATCATAATACAAATGACTGAAATTATACACTGTAAAGTTATTTTTTTAATCGTGTAGTCCTTGTGATTTCACATCAGACATTTGTGTTTCAGGGAATTCCTGGCAGAGCTGGAGCTCCGGGCAGAGAAGGACCTCCAGGACCCAGAGTGAGTCACCTCATGAATATTACTGTCAATCTGTAGTACTGCACATACTGGTAAAAGTACTAATGATACGGTTTTCTTACACTGCTTCTACCTCTACTGTTACTACTGCTACTACTAACGTTATTACTCCTACTACTGTCACTAATGATACTAATACTGCTGTCAGCACTGCCACTACTAAACCTCTTTTACCACCACCATTACTATTATTACTACTGCTTCTACTAGTGCATCTGATACTAGAGTAGTACCTTTGTCACATTTACTGGAAATAGTACCATTACTACTAATACTACTTTTACCTGCTACTACTTCTACTTACCTCCTTGATGTAGTCGAGCTCATGCAGACACCACTGAAGCTGAGTTGAGGTATTTCTCTGCTGCCATCTATTGTCTGGATGGAGACAGAAAACATTTACTCGTCATTGAGACAGCTGGCTCACCACAGTCAGTCAGAGACAAGTTATTTTGGTAAAAAGGTTAAGTAGTTTATTTTATTATAATTAGACTGAGTCAGTATAGTTAAGAATTTAGGTGTTTTTATGGATACTTCTTTGAATTTTGACAAACTAATCAGTAGTGTCCTGAAGGGCAGTTTTTATAGCCAAATTGAAGCCATTTCTATCCCACAGAAACCTTTTAGCTTCTTTGAATTCTCCATATTCCTTTCATTGATGGGTATTGGAGCACTAGTGTTTTATTGTGTAGTTGGATACACAGTGGTATATACTCTTTGTTCTTTTGTTCGTTTATACTTGTATTTGCGTGTATTATGTTCTTGGAAAGCACTTTGGGTCAACTCCTGTTGTTTTTAAATTTGCTATATAAATAAAGCTGACTTGACTTGACTCATTACACTTTATAGTAGCATCAATAAGTCATGATGTAAACAGGTTAATACGGGAGACATTTTGATAATAAGTCACTGCATTTGTGCACAGAGCCAAGCTCAACAACCTGCCTCTACTCAGACAGTTACCTACTGAGAGGGACACCTGTGACCCTCATAACTGGATATATTTCAAGTGGAATCCGACTCTTCCACTGCCTTTTCTGCTTTAACTACTACTACTAATCTTGTGCCTACTGCTGCAGTGGTAGTGCAAATGGTATCAGTGGTAAAAACCAAAACCTGCTTTTCCTGCTTCTACCCAAGTTAACCTCTACTTCCTCTGACTACTTCTTCAATAGCTCCAATTTCTAGTACTTGCTCATGCAACAAGATGAGCAATGATAATATCAGAAAGAATTTTAAAAAATGAGATGAATCGGACAATAAGATTTCCGTGTCGCATGTAGAAAACAGCAACGTGACGTAGCTCCTTCCTGAACTTTTTAAACACGCAAAAAGCAACATTTAAGTTACTCATCTACTTCTCCACAGGGACTTACAGGCAAAGATGGCCCCCCGGGAAGACAGGGCCCCCCGGGAACTATCGTAAGTGATTATTACATTTTGACATTGTGTTCTGATATCGGATATTTGTTCTGAATGTGAGTTTGTGAAGAAATGTGGATTTTTGGCCGCTGAGCCAGACACAGTTGCAGTTTGCGGTCCTGCCTCTGGTTCTCCTTCTGAACACTGTGGCTGTAGTAGTTTAATAATGAATTTTTGGGGGTGATAATGTCAGCTGAAGGCGCTTAAAGTGGAACACAAAAGAGAAATCGCAGACTGGACACACGTCTTTTAAATCAGGCCTTTTGCACAGTGCTTTGATCCTATTTCGGCCACTAATATAGTCTCTCGTCCTCTCTACAGCTGTCGGTTTACATCCACCGCTGTGTGAAATGTGAAGAATATGTAATGAATGTTGATGAGGGACAAACCACAGTAATATATGCCTGAATGAGTCCATGCATCAGATTAAATTATTCCGTTTTTGGAGTAATTTGGACCTGACTGGAAGGCTAGAAACACAAAATGTGTTAGCATTTCTGGTTAAACTCCAAACAATGCAGTCAAACATCTAATTCCCTTTCTTAATAACAGGCCTAGACAGTTGGTAGCAGACCCTATGCTGACGTTCTTGTATATGAAGCAGCATCACACCACAATTTGACTTAATTGGATAATGTATGTTGCTGTCCTGTACGTATCTTTGTTTTAACTTTGGTGTCTTATTTCTGTGTTTTTTATTGTTTTGGTTCCTTATATGTGACAATAAACTTGGCAAATAAAGTCACCTCTGATTCTTCCTCCATGTATCTGTTCATGTCTCTACAGGGGACTCCAGGAGCTCCAGGGGCCCAAGGTAACACAGGCCCTCAAGGAAAACAGGGAGAACTGGGACCACCGGTGAGTCAAGACGATACGATAGAGCTGCCTCTTTTCATTAAGCTTTTTTTCTACCCAGTCTGGGTTTACACCTGTCACAGTGAAGATAAAGGCTGCTGCACAAATGTGGACAGTCTGTGAAGTTCCTTGAGGAGGCAGGAAGTCGTGTCATTCAGGCTTAACAGAGTCTGTCAAGACAAAGTGTCTCAGCAGGATTAACAGCCTCCTCTCTGGTCTGAAGGTCCACGGGCCGGCCTGACACACTCAGAGAGCACGGTATTCATTTTCACAATTAAGGAGATTATTTTAAGCAAAAGATTCCTGTCAGAGCCTCAACCTGTCTTCCTAAAGTTCTTTCTTTTGACATACACTATTGCCAAAAGTTTTAGGACACCCCTCCGAATCATTGAATTCATGCGTTCCAATCACTTCCATGGCCACAGGTGTATAAAATCAAGTACCTATGCAGACCTCTGAACAATGTGTGGCCTTCGGATTAGCTCAAGAACAGTGCGTAGAGAGCTTCATGGAATGGGTTTCCATGGCCAAGCAGCTGCATCCAAGCCTTAAATCACCGAGCGTCGGACGCAGCGGTGTAAAGCACACCGCCACGTATCGTACGTAGACGTGTTCTCTGGAGAGTAACGAATCACACTTCAGCATACCAAGACATTTTGGACAATTTCATGCTCCCAACTTTGTGGAAACAGTTAGTGCACCAGTGCACAAAGACACGGATGAGTGGGTTTGATGTGGAGAACTTGACTGACCCCAACCCCTTAGAACACCTTTGGGATGAACTAGAATCTGTGCCTGACCTCGCAAATGAGCTTCTAGAGGTCAACAATCCCCACGAACACACTCCTAAACCGCCTTCCCAGAAGAGTTGAAGGTGTTATAGCTGCAGAGGGTGGGCCAACTCCATATTAAACCCTACAGATTAAGAATGGGATGTCATTAACCTTCATGTGCATGTAAAGGCAGGCGACCCAAAACTTTTGGCAATATAGTGTAACAAACACCACACTGCTAAACAAAGACCAACTAAGGAGGAAAACAGCTGCTTCCTTTTCTCTGTCAGAAGCAGTTAGTCCCATAATCCCTCTATGAACTCCTTTTTTACATGGTAATGGTAACTGAATCTTCGATGTTTGTAATCTTCTCTTTAAGGATTCAGAATCAGTGCACTGGACTGCTTAATTCAAATTCTGAGGGCTTCTGAAGCACCGCTTGCTGGCTAAATCTTTCTCACTGTGTTGTCGAATTATCCAAAATGTAAATGAGAAAACTACTGAATCATCTGCTGTACAGCTTGAAGGGACCTTGTGGCCTTTTTCACACAAGTAGAAGACTCTGAAATGCCTCAATGTCATAAGATTTATGTTAAGATTACCATAACTACACTCCCCCTGACCTTGTGCTCACGTACTAAAACCACTCTATCAGCTAAATTTACTTAAAGTATGAAAGTAAAAGTACTCATAGTGCAGTAAAACGTTGCTGTCAGTGTTTCACTATTTTATCTGATGTTTCTGGATTAATATTTCTACTGCCTTAATGCGTATGTTGCATTTTACTGCTGTGCGTGTTTATGGTTAACCTTTCCTGTTGGGTTGTTTAATCAACAGCAATTCATCATATTCTATAAGATTATTTTGTGTTCATAGCGGTGCTGTCCTGTGAGAACCACGTTTCTCTAAAAAGTCAGACAAACAGCCTGTTTCCAGCTATTTCACCATGCATTTTCCAGCTGATCCAAGGGCAGTTTAAATACTTTATTTAGCTTAAGACAGAGGAAGAAATTGGAAAAACTTTCAGGCAGATGTAGTGGAGTAAAAGTATGATGTTGTGAAGTAAAAGTACCTCGATACTCATTAAACTGCACCTGACGAGCAGGAGAACGCAGTGCGAGAGAGCTGATTTAAAAAGCGCCGTCTATTTATCATATTGTTTCCCTCGGTAACTGTGTTTTGTTTTTGCTGATGCTGTCTAAGAGTTTGTTAAAAAATGTGGGCACTCTCTGTTTTGGCGTTTATTCCTGATTAAATGAAATGTTCACAGACAGTAAATCACATTTCGACTGCGCCGCCAAAGAATAAATGAGCTTCCGTGGGAGGTGATGCAAACTGCTGACAAATTACTTTGCATTGCTGCGAAAAAATGTTGTCAAGCATGTAATTACAGATATGTGGGCGGACTGCAAAGAGCCCTCCTTAACTAATTACCACACTATTGTCAATTGCAGGTCTTAATGTGAAATTACACGAGGGAAATATAGTTTAGTTTTTTGGTAATGGCACTCTTTGCAAGAGCATTGTTTTTTTAATGACTCAAATGAAGCGTTAAAGGAAGGTTTTAACCATCTGTTGTGTGTTTTACAAGCTCGGATTCTGCCTGATGAAGGCAAAACGTTTCTCATTCTCTCCACTCAGGGCTGAATTTAGTTGCTTTCATGCAATGTTTGTGCAGAAGATAACTTTGTCTTAATGCGGTCTTCACTCAGCGCTCTGAATTTACTGCGTGTTTTTAGCTTTTACATTTATTACAATTTGTTTATCTTTTTCCCATTTTAAAAGCACGCATCAAGGTTACGGTGCGCTCAGCTGAAGGTTACTATAGGCATTATTCCAAGACGAGGATTGTCAAATGCAGCACTGAAATATGTGTTTGGATTGGTCTGAATGTTTTTTCATTTGGTTTGTTTTCATGAGAGATACAGAAAGAAAATCTCACAGCATATAAATATATATTTATATAAAGTCAACATTGAAAAACTAAAACTGTCAGTCTCACAAGCAAACAATCAGGGCTGTAACATTTGAAGCCACATCTCATTATAGAGCTAACAAAATATTCCTGATTTAAGTGGGTCAAGATCAGAAGGGAAGAAGGAGACACAAATAAATGTAAGTGGATTTGTAGTGTTGGAGGTGAAGAGAGAACAGCCTTTTTGCTTTCAACATGGGTCCATTAAACGTGAACAGGTGAACTCCTTCACAAGTTTCTGTTGCTTTTTCCTCTTTCCATTGAGTCTTCTCTGTTGCAGGGTTCTCCAGGAAGCAAGGGGGAGAAAGGCGAAAGGGTAAGTTGTCTATTATGTTCTGTTTCTGCTAAGGAGGAAATAATAAATCACATAAATAATAGTGGTGGCAAAGGCGCAGTGGATAAGACGCATCTATCAATTTGCACCTGAGCAAGACACTTAACCTCTAGTCGCTGCAGAGGCGTACGACGTGCTGAGTGAGGGCAAAAATTCTAGTTTTTCAACATTCAGTTTAAAGGTTTGTGCAGGTTCAATGTTTGGCAAGAATGGAAATAAACGTAGTCAGTAAGGGAACTTTCTCACTAGCTGCTGTTTCGCATTTGACAGTTTGGTCAGAGTGAACGTCTTTCCTATATCCAACGTATGTGTCATCTACAGTGGGGACGCTGGGGACACGTCACACATTTTAAAATGGCTGATTTTGTCCCCATTACTTTTTCAAAGCATTTGTTAAAAATGTTCTGAAAAATAGCTTTCACGTTAACCAACAAATGGCATTATTGGCACAATAAGAAAACATTCAATGCAGTTTAAATATAGAAGAGACGAATGCACATTGTCCAAAAAAGCTACTGATTACTGCATTATATTGTTATATTTATGAATTGTCACCTGCCAGTTTCTGTGATGGCAGATCGAGTTTTCAAATAAACAGCTCAGGCGAACACTTGTCTTTCTGTGAAAGTCTTCTGCAGAAGGAACTCACTGGGACACACTGCAGTGTCTCAGCACATGCAGCTTTTATCCTAACCTCAGTCTTACCACTGGAACATGTCGTCTAAATCTATCATAAAGACATTCAGCCCTAGAACAGCCAGGTACATGTTGTAAAACAATGAAAGACCCTCTGGACAGATACATTTACACTTTATATAAAAACAGACATTTCCACCATTAATTGGAGGAGAAAATGTCTCCAGAATGCAGGAAGTTAAGTTTTAAATGCTCCAATTTTCTAGGGGAGGACGCCCAGCATTTCATATATCTTCAAAATAGTGTTTAAAATCTCCTCGTCTTGTTCTCATGCATCGTAGCAGTACTGTTATAAAAAACTACCGTAATCAGGATGGCCACATGCAGGAATGGTGCTGATGTTAATTCGCGGCCCCTCTGTAGATTATTATGAGGAGAGATCAGGAGGTTAAAAGACAAGAAGAACTTCAGACGCCCTGCTGAATTATTTCTTCTGCGTCCACAAACGTCTCCTCAGACTTCTTCCCGTGTCAAAGTAAAACCAAGATGAAAGTTACTTTTTCATCTAATGGAAGAATAAGTCGTTGGGTGTCCGACGTTCATGTCACGCCTGTAGAAGACCTTAAGTGGCTTATAACTAAAAGCTTTATTTGGTCGGCGTGAAGCCGTTCAGACGATGCTCTGCAGTGAAGGTAACAGAGTTGTAAAGGTCAGTGAAAGTGCAGCACCACCAGCATATTTATGTTTTTTATTTTTTAGGAAAAGATCCTGGAAAGCTTTCAACTTGACCCTGTAAAAGCTCATCACAGGCTTTCCATTTATCTGAGCTTAGCAACTTCAACCACAGCAGATATCAAAAGGAAAAAAATGAAATTAGTGCAATTAAGTGTGACTAAGTAGTGAAATGTTCCTGCCGTGGTTGAATTTAAAATGCTCGAGAGTTTCAGTAAAGGCTCAATTAACAACAGCAGCTGCAGGCGAGTGGTTAGATGTTTTTATTCTTTTCTTTGAAGGAAAAACTCAAAGCAACGGTTAGTTTTTGGTAGTAAGAGCTCAGGTGAGTGTCACCTTTTGGGAGCTGCCAAACAGATATGTGTGTTTGAATGTGTTTTAATTGGTGTGCCAGTCTGGAGAGCAAAAAGCAGGAGGGTTTGTGCACAAATATAATTTATTTTTTCATGTCAGACATAAAGCTGTGTGTATGTTACACATTATGAGTCTGTAGCACATTAACTCAAAAATAATACAAATGAAAGAATACTCAGAAATGCAGAGTAAGATGATTTTTATTTATGGTCTCACTGGACACTGTGGTCTCAAAAGTGCTGGACGTTGATGCAGCAGCTCAGGAACCAAACTCAATACATAAAAATAACTATTTAAGAAGCAGTCATACTGTTTTTTTTTGGTTTGTCATTCAGAATTAGCTCAGCCTCTCTTGGCAAACACAAAACACATTTCAGGACACCTCAGTTATAATTCTGGTTATTACCTGAACCATGATTAAAATATAAACCAGGCTTATGTTTGTGTGTCTCCAGGGTGACCTGCAGTCGACAGCATCAGTTCAGGACATCGCCAGGCAGGTCTGTGAGCAGCTGATTCAGAGTGAGTAAACACGCTCGCGGACATTTAGGGAAGGTTGAGTTAAGTTCCCTACAACAGAAATATTTCACTCTAGCCTAGTGGTGATATGCATGAAACCACTGTTTACTAGTTTGATATGTTACATCCATGATGGTTCCAACTAGGGCTGAGCGATACGGCCAAAAATAAAACATTTAAAATAATTTGATATCGATAATTATCATGATAGATGTCCAGACATTATGTCTTTCATGTGTAAAGGCTGATTTTTGGCTCCTGAGTGAAAGCTGAAGAAACCAGATGGTTAATTGTGGTTTTAAACTTTTCCTAACAAATCTGAGGAAGAACATTCAAAACAATTGTGATAAAATCTTTTTTCAACGAGTATGTAGACAAAAATTAAGTCCCTTTTCCCTCAACAAAATAAATATCTTAACCGAAAAAATAAGTGCTAATTTGTCCGTGATTCAAATGAATTAAATCAAACATTTATTTAACATTTATTATATTGTTATTGATAATTAAATTGCGATTAATATCATTAGTGTTTTATTGCACAGCCCTCGTTCCAACCATGTCGCCTGTAGGTTTGTGACCTCTGAGGCTTTACAGTCCATCCAGAGTTGCTCAGTGCCTTTCCTGTTTCCAGGCCACATGGCACGCTACAACTCCATCCTGAACCACGTACCCAGTCCACCGGTGTCCATCCGCACTGTGCCAGGACCCCCAGGAGAGCCTGGTAGACCGGGACCTGCAGGAGCCCAGGGAGAACAGGGACCCCCCGGAAGACCCGGCTTCCCGGGACAGAACGGACAGAACGGGCAACCAGGAGAAAGAGGTAAAGGGGTGAAGAAGACCAGCAGAGTTTAAACAGGAGATACACACTGGCTCATAACAAGGACTGTAGGGGTGGGAATCACCAGAGGCCCCACGATCCGATACTATCACAATACTTATGTCACGATACTACTGATACTTTAAACATGCTGTATGGATTATTCCCCCACCCCTATCAGTCAAGAAGGTTTCGATACTGATGGAGCAACTTCGTAGCTACTGCAAGTGAATACTTTGACGCAAAAATTAGATTAGGCATCAAAAATGGACTAACAAAGATAATAACTCCACACCGTACGTTGGTACTCGTGCTGCAGAAACAGGTCTAACTGGCAACCCAACAAACTACCTGTCTGAAATTACAATATATTACAACAGTGTTTAATGTGTGTGTGTGTGTGTGTGTTCAGGTCAGCCAGGAGAAAAGGGGGAGAAAGGATCTCAAGGTGTTGGAGTCCAAGGCCCCAGAGGACCTCCAGGACCCCCCGGTAAATTAAAGCATACTAAGCCATGCTGCACACAGAGGTTCCTCAGTCTGGTCTTCTAGATCGTTCTTCACTAAATCATCCTCCCCTCCCAGGTCCCCAAGGGCAGGGCAGACCTGGCAGCCAGGGTCCCTCAGGGCGACCTGGAAACCCTGGAAACCCCGGTCGACCCGGGGTCCCTGGACCTGTTGGCTCTGCTGGGCCTCCCGGCTACTGCGACCAGAACTCCTGTATGGGCTACAATGTTGGAGGTAAGTAGGGGCCCTTAAATATAGCGCTCATAAAACACTTTCAAGACTAAACTTCAACTTAAACATCAGCAGCTGGTTTGATCAAAAAGATTAAATGTTAAAGCCGGGGTTGGCAATTTATTTACATCCATCCACATATCCTGGTGATATAACACTGAAGAACAGTGAGGCAGGGACACCTGACGTTTCCTATACTTACTAACTGAATTTATCAGCCCTACTTCTGCCCTACAGCACCCTTCGCTGTGATTGCTGTGTAATTACAGCCACAAGGTTAAGAGTTGAAAAACAGAACCTTTAACTGAGAAAGAAACAGACTTTTTTAGACCGTTTAGTCTCCTATTGCTTTGCTTCTACTGCATCTGATTACGACGCGCAGTGTTTGTTATCCGAAGCCTTTCAGTGCCGAGTGTGTCTTTTGGATTGATGAGAAATGTTTAATTCATCCGGTTCCTTTTTCATGTTGAAAAGCTGCCGCTGAGTTAAACACGCTGCTTCCACCCGACACTCGGTGTATTTGAAGGTGAAACGCCTTGAAATACAGTCACTGTTACAGGATGCTGAATTCTGCTTTAGCACCAGTGTGTGTTTTGCACGAGAAATTCAATTCCAAAGTTGGACATTGTGATTTGAAATTTTGTACAGTTTCTATGTTGAGCTTGTTTTTTTGGTCAAACATGAATGTAAACAAGCTGATGAATGATCCATCTGCTCACCGCCTTAAAGGGTCACTTCACCCAAATCATACTTTAGAATAAAAATAAACCTGAAAGATATCTTGTTTTCATTTTACTGGGTCTCAAAACCTCAGCAAGTAAGATCTAAACACTCTAACTGCCACAAAGCCTCGCTGTAAATGTGTTTACTGTGAATTGGGTGAAGGAACCCTTTAAGGTTTTACGTCTTCATGCAGTAGCTGGTTGAAGCCACGTGGTCAAACAGGAACCACATGGGAACCAAATCTCTGACTGAATTCTGCATCTTAACATTGTATGACTGAGATTTTTCTGTTTAATCACTCAGCATTGTGACTGTGGGTTGAATCAATCACTGGAAAGATGCTGCATGGAGGGTTTTCTTATACGTATATCTTTAAACACACTCAGCAAAAAGTGTAAGAGAACATGTAAAACATAAAAGTTGCACATGATGAATCAGCGCTGCTGGCAGCTTTTGTATCTGTCATGTGTTAATTTGATCTCCCGCGTCCAAAACAACTCAAGCTGTGTTCTCTCAGCGCTTCACAGGAAAAGACACAAGGGAAATTATATTTTAACAGCTTCACAGTGAACGCAGCAGAACTCCTCACACGCTTCGTGTTAATTCTCGCCACATACACGATCAGGCTTTTTTTAAATAAACGCATGTATGTAAAGAAAACCCAAACATGAGTCATCTTTAAATGCATGATTGTGTAAATCCTTGATGTGTTGAGGTTAAAGGTCACACGGCAGCCTAAAAGGCGCCGTACAGCTCGCAGCCTGCAGGGTCGTCATGTGAGTAACGTCTGCATGTTGTGATCATCCCTCTGTCTTTGTGTTTGTGTCTCTCCATCTCTGTCTGTCTGTCTGTCATCGCCTTGTTTTACAACTTCCCCTCTTTATATAATAACCCTCAGCTCCTAACTACTGAGCCTCGTTCACAAACTCCGTCAGTGACAACAGCAGGGATTAGTAGCTTTATCTGCCGCATTGGCTGCAAAATACAGGCGGTGATGTAGGTGGTGTCGCTGCATCAGCTGAGCAGCTTCAACTCTGGCTCACTCTACCTTCATATGAGGTTATATACAGTAAAAGTTTACACAAAACAGGAATGCTTGCTAGAAGACTAGAAGGGGATTACACCAAAATGAAATGGAAAATACGTTAATATAGATAAACCCTGAAAGTCTGTCTGTAATTAATTGAACATAATCACGCTAGTTTCTGCAGCTTTACTTTTTTAGGCCTTTCTCAGTCCTTGAACATTTCTACTGTTTTAACAGTCAGGTGAAATAGAACTCTCTCCTTCACTCCAAGCCACAGAATAAATCAATAAAGAAGGTTTTCAGATCTTTGTTTAATTAAATAAACCTCCACCTTGAAGGATAAGGCTGATGCTATTCTGTACTTAATATACACACATCCCAGCACAAGACCAACTCCAGCAGCGCATGTCGGTACGTTCTGACTTCCTGTCTGTGGCTCTCAGCTCCGAGCCCATTGGTCCAGCGGTTTAGACATTAATGGCTGTGTGATGTGTTATAAATTTACACTGTTAAACAAGCTGCACACTCACTGCTTCACATTGTTGTCACATGAAAAGATATATTAAAATATTTACAAAAATGTGAGGGGTGGACTCACTTTTGTGAGATACTGTAAATCTTTAAAAACACAGCACAACAGCTGTTTTATTTTTGTTTTTATCAAACAAATAGGGCTGGGGCAATTCGTCAATGTAGTCGATTCTGTAAATACGTCGACTCGAATCCTGTTCAGACACGAGCACGGCACGTTATCAGCACGAGGACACGTAGTCCGTTAAAAAGTATTCATTGCCGTCATGTTAAATGTAATTTCTGCCCCACTGCTGTCATGGCAACGAAACGTTAGACCACGTCAATATGTCAGAAACATTTAAAGTTTTAAGTAAAGCAGCCTAATTAATGTCTGTTATTGTTATTATCACAACACATCAGCGACGAGGAAATTTGATTCATTTTAAGATTTGCTGCTATTCTCATTATTCTAATGTGCTTCATCAGGATGGTTGAATAAAATGTTGATTTATTGATTAGACAATGTTTTTATGTTTGTTAATCGAGTAATAGGCAACTTTTTTTTCTTTAAAACACACAAAATTAGTCGTACGATTAATCGACTTGAAAAATAATCGTCATGTACAGCTCTACAAACAAACCGGAACAAATAGAGCATTTGTTGGGGACTATTTTCAGCGGCGGATGAATCCAAATGTGAGTATTTGGGGCAGCAGGACGGTGTATGTGGCACCGAGTCAAAATGTACTACAGTGTGTGTTGATGGTGATGAAGGAACATGTGACTCGGTGCTGCAGTGAGGCTCACTGATGGGTTTTTAATAGATTCTGGATAATAATGGAGCTCAGAGGAAGAAGAGACATCAGGCTGGGAGACACTTGTTTGGAGATACATTCACCTCTGCTTTGGGTCTTCTGGTGGGATGTGTTGAATATCATCAGCCTCATCCTTTACCTGGTTGAACATGACTGAGCACAGGTGTAGTACGAACTCACACTGACAAGATCGTCCTCTCCTGACTTTTTCTTCTAGATTACGATCATCCGGTGCCCCTTTTTTAAACCTTCACTCACTTAATATAAAACTCCTTTAAAGTCCTAATAGCTCATCTGCACGACAACTCTTAAACAGAAATGTTTGCACGTTGGTTTAACCTTAAGTATCTAGATTTCAAGAATACAATTTAAATCATATTATATGTGAATTAATAGACAATCTCAGCCTCTGGGGACAACGGCGAATGTTTCGGGGGCTTCCGATGTAGCCTGCAGATATCCGTGTGCCGGTCATTGTTTACAGTCCGATTAGAAATCCTGGAAGCCATCGGCTACGGTCTGGCGAGGACTTAACTGCGCATCCATTTTTAAAACGCTAATCCAGAGTTTAGATGATAGCCGATGGGTTCCGACGTTGCGTTTTGGCCAATGTGTTCCGCCTGCTCTCCACACAGTTTACCTACATGCAACCAAAGCTCGCTCAAACGTGATTGGTCAATACTACTCGGACTACCCAGGGAAGGTTAAAGATCCTGTTAGCCTTGATTTTAACCTTCCTTGGATAACTATGACCTGGACGACTGAGAATCTTCAGACTACTCGGACTACAAACGGACACCGATACCAAAATCTTGTCCCTTGCCTACAGATTCTGCATTTATATTCAGGATCTGTTTATAGAGACTAATTCATGGATAACAAATCTAATAACTCTAAAATAAAAAAGTTATTTCTCTGATTAAACTCAAACTTTGTTGCTTATTTTAACTTTTAATTTGCAGTTCTTATTGCTAATTTTATGCTTTCCTCACTTTTAAGTCCGTAACGCTTGGTAACCCCTGGTAACCTTTGGTAACCCTTGGTAACCCTTGTTCCTCTGTGTCTCTTGCTCCTTCCTTCTTCTCCCGCCCCCACTTCCTGTCTCGCTAACCCAATCAAAACCCAACAAACCAATCCAAAACCTTGCTTCCGGTGGTGGCGGTGGGGTCGGCCATCTTTGTTTTGGGCTCTCTTTGACTGTCTGCGTGTCTGACTGGCGTGCTGGCTTGGTTCGCTGCCGGGTTGGTTGGCAATGCAGAGGGTGGTGAGGAGGATGTCACTGACGGCGGCGCTGTCCCCCCAGTCCAACTGCCGCCCAACGTCTACCAAAACTACGGCGAGGCTGAGGAGGACGATCCCTACCGCTACTACCAGCCCAACTACCCGGCCCCGCAGCCTGTGGCGCCTGACGACCCCGCGCTCGCCCTGGACGACATCGAACTAAGGTCCCCCGGCGTCTACCGCAGCGCCAGGAGCCTGGAAGGAGAGAAGGAGAGTGTCGGGCCGAAGAGGAGGCTAAAGAGGGGAGCGAAGACGCTGTCTGGACTAATTAAATGAGAGGATTTGATTGGAGGATGGAGGGCCGCTCGCTGTTTGTGATTGGGCGGTTTGGAGCTGTTACGGACTAATCAACAAGTGCCTGATGTAGAGGATTTCATATGGACATTGTAGAGGGGACGGGGTGGGACTATTTTAACTCATCTATGCTGTTGAATTAAGAAAACAGGTTTAAGTTGTTTTAGTTTTGTCTCCGTAGAGACGACAGTTTTAAATTGACTGAGCTTAACTGAGGTTTATATGTATGTTTGCTTTTTGTCCCACGTCTCTGTTTCTGTGATCAGATATAAGTTTCTCAACTATTTTGCCACCAAATTGATTGAAGAAAAGTAATCGGTCCTGTTTTCAGCCGTTTGCTTTTTTACCTGCTCGGTTAAGTGCCTCCGAATTGTCTCGCTAGAATATTCTGGCAGAAATTTCCAAATGCAGAAATGCAAACACTGCAACAAAGCATTTACACACAGCAGAGACACTTGCAGGTGACAGCAGACTAACAAGCAACAGATGGTTTAAATGTACATCACGACACATAAAGACGGTTAAAAGTTTTGATTCCCGATTTGTTCTGCGTCGACTCGTTGTTGCAGCGGCTGCAGACCAGAAACACCTGTCAGATTGACAGGTGTGAACAGCACGAGCAAAGGTTCCCGAGTGTTCAGATGAGACTTTAATTGTGCAAAAGCATACGTTTGCAAAAATATTAGGCTTTTAGGCTTCATCTGCCAATTTTTAGTTGTTTACCAAAACGTAACACTTGTCAAGCAGTAAACACCAATTTTTTTATTTTTCATGCACCATAAAACTTAAATCGCTGAACTCACCCTGCCTGTGTTTGGGACAAGCCTTTAATTCCTTTCACTCAACACTCTTCTTCAGCAAAGATGGGCTACTATCAAATTGTTCTTATTGCAACCAGTATGAATATTACTTTTATTTAATCTCTCTTGTTTACGTTAACGATACGGAGAATCTAACCGATCTATGTGTTGCATGTCCATATTGACAAAAGTTTAAATATCTATATTTGTTTGCTCCATCTAAGCAGCTTAGCTCAAGCAGGTGACCCGATGGGCTTCAAGAGGTTTTATACATCCAGAGAACCTCTATAAAAACCCAACCAGGCAGCCAATTGATTTTCTGTGATTGCGCCGGGTCTACAGTAACCTGCATCCTAATTGTGATTTTAACGTGTTTTTATTTCCTCCATTTCCTCCAACCAAGTAGCTTCCAGCTTCATGACTAACAAAAACATGTTTATGTAAAGTTCTGCATGTCTTTTGTTTTCCATTTACCATGTGATGTATAATTTGTTTTAATCTCATAGAGCCATAGAGACATTTTACTGCAACATATAAAGATTGTTTGTTTTCGGTGAATTGTAACAGTGTTGATCCCAAACTGATGTTGCTTTGTATTTGAGAAGGTTGATGAAAAGATATAAGTTTAAGTATATGTTTTTTTTAAGACTGACAGCCGTTTCCCACTCTGTGTTTTTCTTATTTGTTTGGTTTTGTCTTTGGATCGATCTGCCTCCATTTGTAACATTCATCATTTATCTAATTTAAGTTAAACTGGATTCTCTGTGTTCCACAACCAAAACTCTTTGGCTCTTTCATTCTTCAGATTTTACGCAGAAGTTAGAGACCGGTTAGATTACAGAAGCAGCTCAGTCCATTTGAAGATGAAATAAGTTTGGATTTATTCATGCGCTTGATGTCTTACTTTTTTTGTTATTGCTGGAGATCAATTATCCAAAGGGACGTCCAGTTATTTGGAAAAAGATGTGCCTCATTTATTCACCGGTGTACGATTCAAGCACACTTTAAACGCCTCCAACCATCTTGTAAACCTTTTCAGTTAAGTGTTTCTGAGGCCTCTAGAGTACAAAAAACGGCCACAGTGTTTGATTTCCCTCTACACCTCTGAGCAGGATAGAAAATAAAATCAAGGAAGTAATTTATTTTATACTTGGTATTGATTTTCTCAGAACAATAAAACTGAAGTACAACCGTTGTTGTTTGTTGCCTGTGTGGCCTGTTTGGTAAATGTGTCGCTGTCCCTCAGCAGGCGACGTGACTGAACTCTGAGGTCTAATTAAACTGGAAGTGAGCTGAGCTGCAGGAGGCTGATTAGAAACCAGCAGGTGCGACTTCAACATCACACCTCTCGTGAAACCGAGAGTTAGACGAAGCTACGCAGCCAAATATAAGCCAGGCATGAAGAACTGAACACCAACAGGAACTAAACCGCTCAGCTGCCTCTGACTGCACCAACAAAGTACTTTTACTCAAGTACTGCACATAAGTACAATTTTGAGATGCTTATACAATTTACTAAAGTATTTCCATTTTATGCAACTTTGTACTTCTTCTCCACCACATCTCAGAGGCAAATACTGTCCTCTTTACTGTTTCTGATAAACGAAAGGTTACTTACTTGCACACATCTCAAGATAAATAAATATTTTAAACCTCCCTTGGATCAGCTGGAAAATGCGTCGTCACAAAGCTGTTTCTTCGGAGCTCATGGAAGCTGACTTCTTAGAGATGCTTGTTTCTCACAGGACAGCGACGCTACAAACATCGGATGATGCATTGCTGTAGATTAAACTACCCAACAGAATATAAAGGAGATAAATGAGCTTGAACATGTAACTTTCAAAGACTTCATTATCATTCCAACCGTGTTGCTATTATACAGGACAGAATGAGAAAGCGTTTCTCGGGGGCAGTGCAATCATTCAAACAAGAAAACTACAATAAAAAGTAGACATCACAACTCCATGCGGAATAAAAACCTCTAGAAATGTTAAAGGGATTGAGATAAATATAGCAGCAAGGACACAAACTGTACAGAATATAAATTACCTGATGGTAAAGGAACGGGTTTGTGGAGAGGGTGTGAGGGGGCTCTCGTGATGTCTTCTGGAGGCAGCGCTCCTGGAAAAGGTCTGTTATTAAAGGATCTCCTCTGATCTCCTCTGCTCCACCATCTACATTTACAGCACTAAAATGCAACACATACATTAATGCAGCAGGACTATTAATCCAGAAACATCAGATATAATAGTGAAACACTTTCCTGCACTATGAGTACTTTTACTTGCATACTTTATGTAAATGCTGCCAATAATACTAGTAAGCTTTTGAATACAGACTTTCAAAGTCACAACCAACGAGATTAAGAGCTCTTGGCTTGGTATCCACCTATATTACATGAATGTTTTCTTCACGAGTGAAACTTTTAGCATTTCTCTAAGGCCTCCTTCTTCCTCTAGTTCCTACTTAAACTACCTAAACACTTTCCTCTTCTACCTCACTGTCAGCTATCTGAATTTTTGTTTTAGTTTCCCTTCAAAGTGATGTGTGGCGCAGAAACAGTGCAGCACCCTTCTTTCGTCTTTCAAGAGAATGCCGAATATTAATTTTACAGTCACTCAAAGTTAGTGTTTGTTGTGTGAATCAGAGACTGTTTTAGAAAAGTTCCTGATCGCACTCTGTAACAAATTCTAATTGAACTCTGAGAGAGAAAAACAGAAAGTTTACCCTCCTCTGGTGATGTCAGTGTGAACATCAGTAACATTAAACTTTATATATAATTTATTATTCATTCATCAGCAAATTACATGTGTCCATTTACTTTAATTGATCACATGTAATAAGTTTTATACTTTCTGTGAATATAATCCGGTTAATCTTATTTACATACACCTTATTTTGAAAAGCGTGTGCATCCTCGCGCTAAATTCATCCAGTCCGACCCAGTTTGATAAATAATGTCGTATGTGGTAACATGAAGACTTCACAGCCTCTCTTCAGGCAGGACTCTCATACTGCAGCACTGGTCTTTGTAAAGAGACACACTGGCAGGATAAAGTCTCTAACCTGCCTGTCAGCTCGCTCTGGTCAGTTTCAGTGGATTTACCATAAAGGCTTTAATACGTGTGCACTCCAAATTTAAGTGCGGCTAGTTTAATGATCGCCTTCTCGCAAACGAGTGACACTCAAAGCGGTTCTTTTCACACAGATGGCGTGGATGTGCTTGCAGACAGTTCAGCAGAACAGCGTCTGCAAACGGCAATTTTTCTCAGACACTTTAAAATGCTTCCACACTGCCGACATGTCAACGGAATCGTTCGGTAAAATGTCTTTGGTTTTTTTTGACTTTGATGAACACCAAAAGTGCTTTTTTCGGTGGCCGAACATTTGGTGCATCTCTAGAACTCAATATCAGTAGTTTTAGGTACTTTTACTACAGAAATAACCAGCAGATCAGATTAAACTACCTGGATTTTAGGTCCCCACTCATTCAAAATTTGTTGTTTTTTTAGAAATTGTCCACTTGTGACAAAAAAAGACCATAAAATAAAGAGAAAACTCGAGAATTAATTAGATGCGGATTTTGTTAAAAAAACCCAGAAAAGTGAGCGCTTGTGCTGCAAATGATATTTTAAAAGTATTATTCTTTCACTAGATTCTTTTGTTTGTTTGTTTGTTTTATTTGCGGGTTTCTCTTTCCCTTTTACCCTTTCAACTTTTCACCATTAGTTCAACCCACATATAGTTAATATTACTCAGCTTCCTCAGGAAGTGGTTGTGGCCGAAGGACTGAAACTATAACGAACCACATCCGACAGCGTTTTATTTAGCTGCAGTGAAAATCAAATTTTAAACATCAGCATATCATTAATCAAAATAATAAAGTGATAACTTGGAGAAGACGAGAAGGGATTTTGTTAATACGAATAACAAACACTTTAAAGAAACACCTGGTGGTTTACTAAGCCTCTTTTTTTCCCATCTACTGGAAATGTGAAAGGAGTGAATCACCTTTTTTTTTTTTTTTTGCAGGTTTACCGACATTTAAAAAACAAACAAACACATATTCCAACTAATTTTGGTGTAAAACAGCCTATTAGACTACATTTCCCATCAGTCACGACATTTATAAAAGAGGGAGCTTGTGACTGAAACGAATCCCTGCAGCAGAAACGTCAGGCTGTGGGATGTTAATGCTGCAGCAGCCGTTGAAAGTAGGAGAATGGTTACTTATCACACACACACACACACACATACGAGTAGATTTGTGTGTGTTAACAGGAAGTGGAAGTAGAGTGCTCTCTCCTCTGCTGTCGAGCTCAGCGGGTTGAGGAGCCTCGTGGGTGTAAAACTGAGCTCAAGTAGACGAGAGTGTGTGACTCACGTTCACACAGAGTGGGACGTGGGCAGGGAAATCAATTACCTCCTGCACAGAAACGTCCGAGCTGCTGCTGCCGTTCACGCTGTTCGCTCTCTGAGCGTCCACTGATGCTTTTATGTGTCTTTATGTTTGCACTGTAGCCGGATCAGAGGCTCCACTTTAAAATTTTAGTCAAATGTTTTATACAGAAGAATTCAGAACTTGGCTTTTATTTTTTGCAGCACTGACATTAAATCAAACATTTTACTCACAAGCATCTTTTCTGATATCTAAGGTGTCAGTAAACACAAACATCTCACACAGCTCGTTGTTGTTGTGTCAAGAATTCAATTTAGTACACGATAATGTTTCTGCCCTCCCATCTCCTCCCCAACAGGCTCTAAAGGTACATTTAAAATGGAAAATAACAAGATAATAAACAATGATAAGATATGATCAGATAATAATAAAATTGACTCTCGAGATCTTAAATTCCAGCGTGTGACGGGTTTGTTTACCCAGCGAGATCAGAAAGTATGATATTTAGAAGCTTCTCTTCTTGTCGTACGTTAGGTTTTCTGTGGCCTGAGAAGGTTTTTGGATTTTTGTGAAGACTGACTTTATACTGAAAATCTTTTGGACTTCAATTCACATGTTTTCCGCATCACTCAGGGATTTAAAGACTGAATCCAAGAAGTTATCCAGACTACTGATGATAGACCGATTAATCGGGCCGATACCTAAAAACCGTCTGTGGAAACATCTGCTCAGTCACGTTTTCTCCTAAATGACAGCAGCTCTAAACTAAAAGCATTACTGGCAGCCTTAAATATATCTGGTTCTACTGTAGAGAATAATGCAGCTGAATGACGTTTCATTCATTAATAAAAAAAACCAACATGTTACTGGCTGAGATAACGTGTATTAGATTTTACTCTGCAGGAATGATGGGATTATACATGACTTTTCTTTGTTTCGATATCGGCATCATATATCAGCATCGGTATCGGCCATTGAAAACGCCACATCGGTCGACCACTAATTCAGACCAAAGCAGGTGGATCAAAGTAGCTTCAGATTTATATCCGTTACAGGTGGGATCTAGATCTCGGTACATTTTGTAAAATGTTTTCTTCTGTTACACAAACTTGATGTACAATCTTAAATTGCATGAGCGCAACAGGAGAGGGCCAATCAAAATGACTGAGCCCAAATGTTTCTCCTGTTCAACAAGTCAATATGTAAATCTGTTCGCTTCTGTATTAAATGATGAAAGTAGTATTTGGGGTATTTGAAAGCTGTTGAACCTTCTCAGATGTAAATGTTGAACGACGTGAGCATGCAGAAGGTCAGTTTTAATACAGATCCTGAACAATCTGAATCCCTTATTCTTTACGTTTGTGTTATCACACCAGAGATACATTTTGCTGTATAACGTGGACTCTGAACTCGCCACAGAAAGACCTTTGGCATCAGTTTTTAACATATCGGCTACCCCTTCAGTGTTGGGGTAGTTGGGTCAGACTCCAGACTTTCACCCAGGAGACTGGCGTTCGTTTCCTGTGTGTTGATTCTCTTTAACTTGTGCTTCATAGCCCCTGGAAAAGGTCTTTTATTGAAGGCAGGGAGACCCCTCTGATCTTCTCTGCTCCACCATCTACATCTACAGCAGCAGAATGCAACACACACATTAATGCAGCATTTAACCCAAATCATGATCTTTTCCTAAACTATCCAAGTAGTCTTGGTACCTAAACCCAACTAAACTGTGACCGTTTCCCAACGTTTACCACATATTTTACTTTGAAACAACACATTTTCATCCCCAACTTGTC